CTGTTTTTTAAAAGTACATAACTGTAATGCTTCCAAAATTCAATTATTTTTTCGAATTTTTAATTAAATTGTTCCAAAATTTAATAATTTCTTTTAGGAAAATAATAAATTAATCATTATTTCAAATAAATATTTAAATATTATTATAATTTTACAGAAATTAAGATTTTTAAAGATTTTAATTTAAAAATCTTTTGAAATTTAATTATTTCTAAAAATTAATGCCATACGTTTCTAATATTCAATTATTACTTAAAATTTTACGAAAATTTAATTATATAAATATACAAAAATAAAAAATTCATTAAATAATTAATTATCTATTAAAATTGTATTTCTGCTCTATAAAGAATTTTATAAAAATTTTTTGTAAATAGTTGAATTCTTTCGAAACATTATGAAAATTTTTGAGACTTGCATTTTTTGACAAATTTAATTTAAATTGTATTAAAAATAATTAAAATTCTACAAAGAATGTTATAATTTATGAAAATAATTAAAATCTTGCAACAAGTTATATTAAAATTTTTTTAAATAATTGAATTTTTGGGAAAAATTTCATTATTTGTAAAAGAAATTGAATTTTTGCAAAGAATTTTATTAAATTTTTTTAATAATTAAAGTTTTTTCATGAATTTTTTATTAAAAATTTTGAAAATACTTCAATTCTTTCAAGGAATTAAATTGAAATTGTATTTTAAAAATAAATGAATTCTTATAAATAAATTTCATCAAAATTATTAAAAAATATTTCTCTCGAAGAATTTTTAAAAATTTGTTGTTTACAAATAAATAATTTCTTTTCAAAAAACTTTAGGAATATCGTATTTCAAATAATTGAATTTCTCTGAGAATTTTATTAGGTTTATAAAAATAAATGTAATTTTTGCGAAGAATGTTATTAAAATTTTCTTTTCAATTATTGAATTCTTTTGTACAATTTTATAAAATAATAGTTACTGAAAATAATTGAATTTCAGCAAAGAATTTCATTATGCGAAAATCATTGAATTTTCGCGAAAAATTTCATTAAAATTTTTAAAAATAATTGAATTGTTCAAAAGAATATTTTATTAACATATTTTAGAATAATTTGTTTATTTTCATTATTAGTATTAGCGGATTAAAATTATTGCAAATTCTCATAATAAAAGAAAAAAGTAATTTAGAATAATTTGTTTATTTTCATTATTAGTATTAGCGGATTAAAATTATTACAAATTCTTATAATAAAAGAAAAAAGTAACTTTTAGTGTCACAAACCTGAAAACAAGTATCCAAATAGTAGCGAATCGTTAAACAAAAGTAGTAAATAGGAAGTTTTAGTAGATGAGCGCGAACCCTGTATTTTATTCTAATTACAACTGTTTTTATTAAAAATTAATGAAAGTTTATATCAATTACATAAAAATATTAATTCTTTTTTTTGTATTTTCATTAAAATATTTTTTTCTGTTTTTCCACACCATTTGGTTTAGAATTAATAATAAGGAATCCGAGAGAATAAAAATTTTAGAGAATTTAGAAAGACCTTTTCTACAATTATGAAAATAATAAGAAAAAAATTTCCTATTTTCAATGATGAGAGACTGTCCAGCGCACCTAATAATAATTAATAACAGTATAGAACTTGATTTGTGAGAAAAAAGAGCTCTCTAAGTGACTGCAGTGAAAAATTTGCATATTCGCGACTTTAAAATTATAGAAAATGAATAGCAAAAGTTTGAATGAAATTTATATAGATTATAATTAATGATGAAAATCGAGAACACTGTTAATAATTCCACATATATATAGGCATTTGACACACGCGGTTAGTAATTAAGAGCGATCGGCGTGTGCTATAGTGTAAAAGGAATTCGCTTATAACAATAATGTGAATTAGCGTTAAACTTATTATATACGCAAAAAGGGGAGATATGCATGCATATTGATTATAGTGACGAGATACAAGAGACTTATTATATTCCACCGAGTGAAAAAAAGAGAGGGAGAGAGAGAGAGAGTGAGATAGAGGTTTTAGGACCCCTGTATGACTTTTTTCTGTTGCAAATATTCTGCACAATCATTTCCTTGTTCTCTTATCAAATTCGATAAAACTTCTCTGCCATAAAGAATATTGCAAAATTGAAATGACTCTTTTATTCTTCTTTTTGATAAATTTTTTTTTCTTGTCGCGAAAATAAATTATTTTATGATTCTTTATTTATTTCCTCTCTAGAATTTAAATCTGTTAAAATTTTAACTGACTTTTTGCTTTTTAATTTGTTAAAATTTTAATTGACTTTGCTTTTGAATCTGTTAAAATTTCAACTGACATTTGGCTTTTGAATCTGTTAATAAAATTTTAATTGCGACTTTTTACTTTTTGAATGAGTTAAAATTTACTTATGAGTAGATATTTTTGTACTGATTTATAAGTAGAAAACTGTTTATTGAAAAAAATTATAACAGATTCAAAAGCGAAAATTCAGAATTAAGTATGCATTTAAATTTTTTAACAGATTCAGATGTCGAGAGGAAATGTATGTAAACGATGTAAAACTTTCTATTTATAAAAAATTGTGTTTATCGATAAAACGTACATTGTGTTACAGACTCTTTATATGTTTAGTGCAGTATATTGAAAGAGGTATCTCATTGAAAGGAAGCACAAGTGTCAGAAAAAAGTTTCAGTGATAAATATCTGAAATTGAGTTGGTGGTATATATATATGTACCTTTTTTTCTTTGAGTTTATCGAAGAAAGAAGGGTTCTCCCACTTTTCTTTCTCACTTCAGACGTCCAAGTGCACTCACTGCACTTGACTTGAAGCTTAACATATTGTTCTTTTTATTTTAGCATTTTTTTTTTCTATTTTTCAAATCCCCTTTATCCGAAGCCTGATGGAAACTCGTGTGTGTCTGCTACATCAGGATTGTGTAAATATTTTGAAAGCGGTAAAACAATAAGAGCTTAGGAGGAAAATTCACTTCCCTTTTGTTTAGTTTTCCCATAGTCGCCCACTGAAATATATAATGCAAAAAACTTATTTTTTGTTTTTGTTTATAATTATAATCATTATGGGAATTTTCAAAATAAAACATTATAAATTATAAGTAATATACTAGTACTAACTTAATACTGTCAAACTCAAAGATATTTAAAAGAATCAAAAATCTAAAAATTGACAAAAAAAAATGAGAAATATTATCAACGTCGTAAATTTATACAGAGAAAATTATGCTTCATGAAAAGCTCATAAAGAGATACAAAATAATATCCACGGGAAAAAATTTATATGCCTTCTGAAAACAAGTTGATATCCTGAAGCAACGAAAATAAGATCTTGACACCTCTATAAGAGTAAATAGAGAAAAAACATCAAGTTCTAGTGTAATTTGATCAACTTTGAAGACATGCTTTTCAAGATTGTCTTCAAAGACAAAAAAATTATTTTTTTCTAAAAAGAAAAATATAAATAGATTTGTGACAAGAGGTGTAAATATTTATACCGTTACAAGTAATAAATGTATTATAATTAATTTATATATGATAATGCATTAGAGAATAAAATAGGACAGTACATAATGCACACTGTATGGTACATATAATGTACAACAATAATGTTCGAAATCTAATAATTCTTTAATCGTGTATACATTTTATCTCATCCGCAGGCGCACTTATCAAGATCGTATATCCTCACAACAGGAAAGTCAGTGTTAGAACTTCAATTGCCCGCTTATATGGTAATTGTGTTATGCAGAACAATGGAATAGTCAGTAAATTGCAATTTCAATCGATAAATTTGCATCTCAGAGTGTAAAAGTCTCCTATCTTATATTTTATATTAATTAAAGAAATGTTTCGTATTTTTAGTTAATTTTTTGGGGAAAGCAGTTTAATTATATGGTTCTTATGGAATAATTATGGGTTATTCTTGAAAATGATTCAGAATTTTGCAGTTAATAATTCACTGTTAACTTAATAGTATCTCAAAGTATCAATTTACAACGAATTGATGCCAAAAATGTGGATCAAATAAAAAAATTGATCCACATTTTTGGCATCAATCTGATCCACTTTAGTACCAAATTGATACTTTCCAGAAAACAATAAACGAAAAGAATAATAATTTTTAATATTGAACAATATATTTCAAACATCTGAGCCATTTTTTTTAATAATAGTTTTTAATAGCTAAAGAAAAGTATAGAATAACTCTTACTAAATATTTACAAAGTAGAATTAAAACTTTCTGTAACTTCTGCGCATTTCTTACAACTCTTTACTATTTTCGGAGTAAATTTTACTAAACTAAAAATAAATTTTAATAATTTTTCACTAAAATTTACTTCGATTGTAGCAAAAAGTTAATTAATTTCAATGTTTACAGATTGAAAATAATATTAAATAACAATTAAAAACATTCAAATAAATGAAATATTTTTTTAAATATATTTTTAAAACAGCTCTAAGTGTACAATAAAAATTAAAAACCTAAATGAAATATCTTAAAACTTTATAACTTATTTTTTTAATACTCATTTTTTCAAAAACCAAAAATTTTGACAATTAAAATTTAGAATTTGAAAAAGAAATAATTAAATTTTGTTTATTTGAACGTACGAAAGTTTAAGACCATCAAAAATTAATATTGAATTATAAATATAATATTAAATGGTAAAAATGATATTGAATAATGACAACAATCTTGAATAATTGAAATAATATTGATTAAAATAATATTGAATAATTAACATAATTGAATAATGAAAATAATCTTCAGTATCAAAAATAGTATTGAATAAATAATTAACATTAAAAAGTATATTTTAAAGCCGTAAAATTTTAAAATCCAAAAAATACTGGTAGAAGACGAATAATAAAAAGATATAAAAATAATAATGAATATAAAATGAATAAAAAATAATAATAAAAATAATAATGAGTAAAAAAATAATAAATAAAAAATATAACAAACAGTAAAATTACCAAAACAATTGAACAAAACTCACCGATAATTCTTCAAAACAGTTGACAATGCGCTCTTGTTTTGATGGCAGTTTCAAACCTCAAAATCCAATGTCACTGTATATACATTTAACAGCACTAAATAAAAAACTTTTAATCACTCAAAAATTATTGTTCTCAAAATTTTATCAAAAAAAAAGACACAATAACTCACGAATTTCACCAATATTGAAAAAAAACGGAAACAAATAAAAATTCACGACACTCGCGAAATTTAGCAGCAAAACTTTCTACTTTCTTGAAAACAAAATGTTATAACATTCTCTCACCCTTAATGAAAACACCTATCGCACACCCAGTTTGGAATTCACGTGCCCCTTTTTGGAACAATGTCAACAATAGACTTAACAAACGACCAAGGTTCCTCGAGGTCTACAAAGTAATTGGATCTACACCTGGTTTGCGGTCACAACCTTTTTTTTTCTCTCTTCTTTTTTCTAAACTCAATTTCAACTACAAGGTCACTAGCAATGTCAATAATTTTTCTTCGATCAAACAATTTTTTTAAATTCACAATAATTATTTTATTTTACAATTAACGTTTGTCACAGTTTTTTTTCCTAAAACTTGTCACTTAATCACAAATGGTAAATATAAAGAGAAGGGGATGAAAATTTTGTTTGGAAGAAATAATTTTAATTAAGAGGGAATATAATGAGAATATTTTTTTTTTTAAAATTGAGAGAGAGAGAGAAGGGGAAAAATTTTGTAATTCCTTTTTTATGGTTTGTTTTTTATTTCCTTTTTTTTTGGTGTTTTTGAAGGACGGCGGGAATTTGTATATATAGTGGCCGAGCGGAATTATAAAGAAAGAGATGCGCCTCGTTAGGCAACCACGCTCGCTCTGCGAAACAAGTCTGGAGTGGTGCGAGCCACGCGCATCAACAGTGCGCAATCTCACATCTCATTCGCCTACTTGACCACCCACTCCTCTTCAAATAGCGGTTCATCGCAGGGGTTCTCAGACCTTTTTCTAACCCTTCAATACACAATTTAACCCCGCGTTGAATTAGTCTCGCATCCTAAAATAACCGGAAGAGAAGGGCCCTTTTTACACTCGAGATTTTTCTTTTATAAAATAATATATGGAGCACCAATAATCTCATTTATGGTTTAAAAATAAACTACCAGAGAGAGAGAGAGAGAGAGAGAGAGAAAAGGATTTTTCACACATGTCTCTTTAGAAAAAACTCTAATGAAGACTTATCAAGATAAATTAATGACACCCGAAAAAAAGTGATTCTTTAAATAGACATTTTGATGAGGAAAAAAATTTTTTTTTTCTAAAGCTGAGAAAGCATCAATCTTGGTGTGAATTGGCTCTAATTTCTCAGTTTCTGGAAAATTTAGTACTGAACATGAGACACATGCGAGTGGTTCGCGAAGGGCACTTGACATAAAATTGAAAGGGGATAAAAATTATTGGGTATAAAAATTGATGTGTCGTATAAATTTCAGATGAGGTGGAATTTTGTTCGTGGATAATTTCTTTATTTAGGTTAAAACTCTCATAGGAGTAAAGTCTCACTTGACATCACTTGTTATCACTTGTAACAACTTGGCATCACTAGTAATCACTTGATATCGGTTGTAATCACTTTATACCACTTAATATCACTTGATATCACTTAACATCACTTTATATGGCTTAATATCACTTGTAACCACCAAAATTATTTTACTAAAGTAAATTCTTGTAAATAAACATCTAATAATCAATAGACACCTTAAAAATCAATTGTTTATTAACAATTAAATTTTTTAAAGCTACTAGTTTCGTAAAACAAAAAATTCGATTGTCTGCTAATTGGCGGATGGAGTTTCCTAAATAGTAATATTGCCAAAATTATTTTACTAAAGTAAATTCTTGTAAATAAACATTCAATAAAAATAGAAAACTTAAAAAAAAATTGTTTATTAACATTTATATTTTTTAAAAGCTCTTACCTTCGCAAAACTCAAATTAGCAGACAATAGTATTTTTGAGTTTTACTAATCTAAGAGCTTTTAAAAAATTTAATTTTTAATAAGCAATGCAATTTTATGTTGTCTATCGTTAATCAGATGTATATTTATAAGAATGTAGTTTTGTAAAAAAATTTTGGAAAAAATGTTAGTCAGGAAACTCCATCCGCCAATTAGCAGACAATCGAATTTTCGAGTTTTGCAAAGCTAAGAGCTTTAAAAAATTCAATTGTCTATAAACAATTTATTTTGTTGTTGCCTTTTGTTTATTATATGTTTATTATTAAGAATTTTGTTCAGTAAAAAAATTTTGGTAAAATTACTAGTCAAAATACTCCATCCGCCAATTAGCAGACAATCGAATTTTCGTGTTTTGCAAAGCTAAGAGCTTTAAAAAATTCAATTGTTTATAAACAATTTATTTTGTTGTTGTCTTTTGTTCATTGGATGTTTATTATTAAGAATTTTGTTCAGTAAAATAATTTTGGCAAAATTACTAGTCAAAATACTCCATCCGCCAATTAGCAGACAATCGATTTTTCGAGTTTGGCAAAGCAGAGAGCTTTAAAAAATTCAATTGTCTATAAACAATTTATTTTGTTGTTGTCTTTTGTTCATTGGATGTTTCTTATTAAGAATTTTGTTCAGTAAAATAATTTTTGCAAAATTACTAGTCAAAATACTCCATCCGCCAATTAGCAGACAATCGACTTTTCAAGTTTTGCAAAGCTAAGAGCTTTAAAAAATTCAATTGTCTGTAAACAATTTATTTTAATGTTGTCTTTTGTTCAATGGATGTTTATTATTAGGAATTTTGTACAGTAAAATAATTTTGGCAAAATTACTAGTCAAAATACTCCATCCGCCAATTAGCAGACAATCGATTTTTCGAGTTTGGCAAAGCAGAGAGCTTTAAAAAATTCAATTGTTCAAAAACAATTTATTTTGTTGTTGTCTTTTGTTCATTAGGTGTTTATTATTAAGAATTTTGTTCAGTAAAATAATTTTGGCAAAATTACTAGTAAAAATACTCCATCCGCCAATTAGCAGACAATCGAATTTTCGTGTTTTGCAAAGCTAAGAGCTTTAAAAAATTCAATTGTCTATAAACAATTTATTTTGTTGTTGTCTCTTGTTCATTAGGTGTTTATTATTAAGAATTTCGTTCAGTAAAATAATTTTGGCAAAATTACTAGTAAAAATACTCCATCCGCCAATTAGCAGACAATCGAATTTTCGTGTTTTGCAAAGCTAAGAGCTTTAAAAAATTCAATTGTCTATAAACAATTTATTTTGTTGTTGTCTCTTGTTCATTAGGTGTTTATTATTAAGAATTTTATTTATTAAAATACTTTTGGCAAAATTACTAATCAAAATACTCCATCCGCCAATTAGCAGGCAATCGAAATTTCGATTTTGGCAAAGCAAAGAGCTTTAAAAAATTCAATTGTCTATAAACAATTTATTTTAATGTTGTCTCTTGTTCATTAGGTGTTTATTATTAAGAATTTTGTTTAGTAAAATAATTTTGGCAAAATTACTAGTAAAAATACTCCATCCGCCAATTAGCAGACAATCGAGTTTTCGTGTTTTGCAAAGCTAAGAGCTTTAAAAAATTCAATTCTTTATAAACAATTTATTTTGTTGTTGTCTTTTGGTCAATGTATGTTTATTATTAAGAATTTTGTTCAGTAAAATAATTTTGACAAAATTACTAGTCAAAATACTCCATCCGCCAATTAGCAGACAATCGAATTTTCGAGTTTTGCAAAGCTAAGAGCTTTAACAAATTCAATTCTTTATAAACAATTTATTTTGTTGTTGTCTTTTGTTCATTGGATGTTTATTATTAAGAATTTTGTTCAGTAAAATAATTTTGGTAAAATTACTAGTCAAAATACTCCATCCGCCAATTAGCAGACAATCGAGTTTTCGAGTTTTGCAAAGCTAAGAGCTTTAAAAAATTTAATTCTTTATAAACAATTTATTTTGTTGTTGTCTTTTGTTAATTAGATGTTTATTATGAAGAATTTTGTTCAGTAAAATAATTTTGGCAAAATTACTAGTCAAAATACTCCATCCGCCAATTAGCAGACAATCGAGTTTTCGAGTTTTGCAAAGCTAAGAGCTTTAAAAAATTCAATTGTTTATAAACAATTTATTTTGTTGTTGTCTTTTGTTCAATGGATGTTTATTATTAAGAATTTTGTTGAATAAAATAATTTTGGCAAAATTTCTAGTCAAAATACTCCATCCGCCAATTAGCAGACAATCGAATTTTCGAGTTTTGCAAAGCTAAGAGCTTTAAAAAATTTAATTCTTTATAAACAATTTATTTTGTTGTTGTCTCTTGTTCATTAGGTGTTTATTATTAAGAATTTTATTTATTAAAATACTTTTGGCAAAATTACTAGTAAAAATACTAAATCCGCCAATTAGCAGACAATCGAGTTTTCGAGTTTTGCAAAGCTAAGAGCTTTAAAAAATTCAATTGTTCATAAACAATTTATTTTGTTGTTGTCTTTTGTTAATTAGATGTTTATTATGAAGAATTTTGTTCAGTAAAATAATTTTGGCAAAATTACTAGTCAAAATACTCCATCCGCCAATTAGCAGACAATCGAGTTTTCGAGTTTTGCAAAGCTAAGAGCTTTAAAAAATTCAATTGTTTATAAACAATTTATTTTGTTGTTGTCTTTTGTTCAATGGATGTTTATTATTAAGAATTTTGTTGAATAAAATAATTTTGGCAAAATTTCTAGTCAAAATACTCCATCCGCCAATTAGCAGACAATCGAATTTTCGAGTTTTGCAAAGCTAAGAGCTTTAAAAAATTTAATTCTTTATAAACAATTTATTTTGTTGTTGTCTCTTGTTCATTAGGTGTTTATTATTAAGAATTTTATTTATTAAAATACTTTTGGCAAAATTACTAGTAAAAATACTCCATCCGCCAATTAGCAGACAATCGAGTTTTCGAGTTTTGCAAAGCTAAGAGCTTTAAAAAATTCAATTGTTCATAAACAATTTATTTTGTTGTTGTCTTTTGTTAATTAGATGTTTATTATGAAGAATTTTGTTCAGTAAAATAATTTTGGCAAAATTACTAGTCAAAATACTCCATCCGCCAATTAGCAGACAATCGAATTTTCGAGTTTTGCAAAGCTAAGAGCTTTAAAAAATTTAATTCTTTATAAACAATTTATTTTGTTATTGTCTTTTGTTCATTGGATGTTTATTATTAAGAATTTTATTTATTAAAATACTTTTGGCAAAATTACTAATCAAAATACTCCATCCGCCAATTAGCCGGCAATCGAATTTTCGTGTTTTGCAAAGCTAAGAGCTTTAAAAAATTCAATTGTCTATAAACAATTTATTTTAATGTTGTCTTTTGTTCAATGTATGTTTATTATTACGAATTTTGTTCAGTAAAATAATTTTGGCAAAATTACTAGTCAAAATACTCCATCCGCCAATTAGCAGACAATCGATTTTTCGAGTTTGGCAAAGCAAAGAGTTTAAAAAAATTTAATTGTCTTTAAACAATTTTTTTTGTTGTTGTTTTTTGTTTATTAGATGTTTATTATGAAGAATTTTGTTTAGTAAAATAATTTTGGTAAAATTACTAGTCAAAATACTCCATCCGCCAATTAGCAGACAATCGAGTTTTCGAGTTTTGCAAAGCTAAGAGCTTTAAAAAATTTAATTCTTTATAAACAATTTATTTTGTTGTTGTCTCTTGTTCATTAGGTGTTTATTATTAAGAATTTTGTTCAGTAAAATAATTTTGGCAAAATTACTAGTAAAAATACTCCATCCGCCAATTAGCAGACAATCGAATTTTCGTGTTTTGCAAAGCTAAGAGCTTTAAAAAATTCAATTGTCTATAAACAATTTATTTTAATGTTGTCTTTTGTTCAATGGATGTTTATTATTAAGAATTTTGTTCAGTAAAATAATTTTGGCAAAATTATTAGTCAAAATACTCCATCCGCCAATTAGCAGACAATCGAGTTTTCGAGTTTTGCAAAGCTGAGAGCTTTAAAAAATTCAATTGTTCATAAACAATTTATTTTGTTGTTGTCTTTTGTTAATTAGATGTTTATTATGAAGAATTTTGTTCAGTAAAATAATTTTGGCAAAATTACTAGTCAAAATACTCCATCCGCCAATTAGCAGACAATCGAGTTTTCGAGTTTTGCAAAGGTAAGAGCTTTAAAATATTCAATTGTCTATAAACAATTTATTTTGTTGTTTTCTTTTGTTTATTAGATGTTTATTATTAAGAATTTTATTTATTAAAATACTTTTGGCAAAATTACTAGTCAAAATACTCCATCCGCCAATTAGCAGACAATCGAGTTTTCGAGTTTTGCAAAGCTAAGAGCTTTAAAAAATTCAATTGTCTATAAACAATTTATTTTGTTGTTGTCTTTTGTTTATTAGATGTTTATTATTAAGAATTTTGTTCAGTAAAATAATTTTAGCAAAATTACTAGTAAGAATACTCCATCCGCCAATTAGCAGACAATCGAGTTTTCGAGTTTTGCAAAGCTAAGAGCTTTAAAAAATTCAATTGTCTATAAACAATTTATTTTAATGTTGTCTTTTGTTCAATGGATGTTTATTATTAAGAATTTTGTTCAGTAAAATAATTTTGGCAAAATTACTAGTCAAAATACTCCATCCGCCAATTAGCAGACAATCGAATTTTCGATTTTGGCAAAGCAAAGAGCTTTAAAAAATTTAATTCTTTGTAAACAATTTATTTAGTTGTTTTCTTTTGTTTATTGGATGTTTATTATTAAGAATTTTATTTATTAAAATACTTTTGGCAAAATTTCTAGTCAGAATACTCCATCCGCCAATTAGCAGACAATCGAGTTTTCGAGTTTTGCAAAGCTAAGAGCTTTAAAAAATTCAATTGTTCATAAACAATTTATTTTGTTGTTGTCTTTTGTTAATTAGATGTTTATTATGAAGAATTTTGTTCAGTAAAATAATTTTGGCAAAATTACTAGTCAAAATACTCCATCCGCCAATTAGCAGACAATCGAATTTTCGTGTTTTGCAAAGCTAAGAGCTTTAAAAAATTCAATTGTCTATAAACAATTTATTTTAATGTTGTCTTTTGTTCAATGGATGTTTATTATTAAGAATTTTATTCAGTAAAATAATTTTGGCAAAATTTCTAGTCCAAATACTCCATCCGCCAATTAGCAGACAATCGAGTTTTCGAGTTTTGCAAAGCTAAGAGCTTTAAAAAATTCAATTGTTCATAAACAATTTATTTTGTTGTTGTCTTTTGTTAATTAGATGTTTATTATGAAGAATTTTGTTCAGTAAAATAATTTTGGCAAAATTACTAGTCAAAATACTCCATCCGCCAATTAGCAGACAATCGAGTTTTCGAGTTTGGCAATGATAAGAGCTTTAAAAAATTCAATTGTTACTAAACAATTGATTTTTAAGTTGTCTATTGTTTATTAGATGTTTATTTACAAGAATTTACTTTAGTAAAATAATTTTGGCAAAATTACTAGTCAGAAAACTCCATCTGTTAATCAGCAGACAATCGAATTTTTCAGTTTTACGAAGCTAAGAGCTTTACAAAATTAAATTGTTATTAAACAAATATTAAACAAATCATATAAAACATATGTCAAATAATTTTCAATAATTTTTCTAAACGCAAGTGACTTTCATAAAAGGTGACAATTTATGCCAAATCATAATTACATCAAGTGCTATTAATATATAATTAAATTTCTGACGAATGAATATAATGTCAAGTGATATTTATGTATAAAATTATTAACAGATTAAGGGTTGATTTCACCAACACCGATTAAAAGTTAATCAATGATTAAATCCTCAATTAACCATTCAGAAGCCTTTAAACTGTCTTTAATCATTGATTAACTTTTAATCGGAAGTTGGTGAATGTGGCTCTAAGTAACTTTTTGAGACAAACATTTATTAGTTTAAGTGCGGTTTAATAAAGTAATACTAATTTTAAGTGATTAAGATAAGATTTGTGCCATTAAATTATTTTTTTAATTGAAACTTATGTCAAATAATGTTTATTTTAAATTAAATTTAAATCAAGTGAGTTTTGTATCAAGTAAGTTTTTTATCTAGTAAATTTTTTTTCAAGTGTGTTTTATGTCAAGTGATTGTTATGTTAAATAAGATTTATGCTAATAAATTCTTTTGTTAATTGAAACCTTTGTCAAATAATGTTTATTTTAAATATTATTTATATCAAGTGATACTTATGTCAAGTGATTTTTATGTTAAATAAGATTCATGCTAATAAATTTTTTTGTTAATGGATACCTATGTCAAATAATGTTTATTTTAAATAACATTTATATCAAGTGAGTTTTATATCAAGTGTTTTTTTGGAAATAAGATTTATGCTAAATAATTATTTTGTCAATTGATACCTATGTAAAATAATGTTTATCGAAATTAAAAGTCATGTCAAATGGGTTTTATATAAAGTGATTTTTACTTCAAGTGAGTTTTATATCAAGTGAGTTTTATGTCAAGTGATTTTTTTATGTCAAATAATATTTATGATTAATAATTATTCTGTCAGTTAAAACCCATGTCAAATAAAGTTTATTAAAAATAAAAGTTATATCAAGTGAGTTTCACGTTTAGCAAGTTTCATATCAAGTGAGTCCCATGCCAAATTTTAATTATGTCAAGTGCTTTTTATATCAAATAAAATGTATCCTCAATAAATTTTATGTCCATTGAGACATTTGTCAAATAATTTTTATGTCAAGTGAGTTTCAAACAAGGTGCACTTTACTTCAAGTGATTTTTATCCTATCTATTTTCTATATGGTACTTTATGGTCCTCAAATATGACACCCTTCCGTACCCATTAATTAGACAATATAACCGTGTAAAGGGGAATAAACACATACACACACAGATCGATTTTCTTGCGTCACCCATAGATTCCAAAATGAGCCAAAATATATTAAGTGGCATAGGGGGAATATCCCTCTATTGCAACCATTTACAGGTAATGCACTCCAGAGGGGGAACCACATAATAGAGCCTGTCCAATATTCATGACTATATAAAATGATGCTGCCTTTGATCTTGTTCTAAGCACATAAACCGGAAGTTTAATTTAAATTTTTTATTTTTAAAAACTATCTATACAATATACATAATACAAATACATGTATTTAAAATTTTAAATATTTAAAAATACTTTTATACTATATAGAATTCGACTTTATTATTCCACTATTTTTTACCTCGACATTTGATTTTTTTATTAGCGTTAAAAAAAAGAGAGAAGAAAATAAAATTGTCAGACGAAAATAAATTGTTTCCCAATATTTTATGATTTCTATCTTTACTATCAACACGCTCATAAGCCATAAGCGAAATTTTGTAATTTTTCATTCACCATGGACTTGATTGCTTTTATGACATAGCTGATCATAAAAGTTGATCAACTTTATCGTCAATGCTGAAGCAATTTTATTTTTTTTCACATTATACACACACACAGAATTCTTTTATTGTTTCTGTATTTGATTTTACTTAATAATAAAATAAATAAATAGGCATAATAAAAATTGCAAAAGAATAAATAATAAATAATAATTATTCTTTCTGTACTTGTTTTTACTTTATAATAAAATAAATAATAAATACTAAACATTAAATAATAAATTCTAAATAATAAAAAACAAACAGTAATTATAAATTAAAATTATTTCTTTTTTTATCTTTCTAAAAATATAACTCACTCTCTAAATTTGAATTAATATTAAAATTATTAATATTTTGAATTAGTGACTGACTTTTTGCTTTTGAATTAGTAAATTTTACTATTAAATAGTAATTTCAACTAATTTATCAATAAAAATTTACTAATTTAAAAGCAAAAAGTCAGTTACTATTTGAAATTAGTAAATATTTTTACTCTAATTAAAAAGTAGTTGGGAATAAATTTATTTTTTAAACATAGTTAGAAACAAATTTCAAAAGGTGGTCCTCCTCTGACTGTGTTCCTCTAATAATGAATAATTATATAAATTAATTATATAAATCATATAAATTAAGGATTAATTTTTAAGAGAAATTGCATTTAAATAAGAAAAAATGAAACTAAATTGTATTTATTTAAATTTTCATAATAAGAAAATTTTAATAGAAAAATATCATTTTTACAGCATTTTCCTTTTTTTTTATGAATGTCAGAAAAGAGAAAAATTGAATATAATCTTATTTTTCGTTTTTACGACTTTCACTGGAGGGTGTAACATAAACTGGTGAGTTTTGTATTTCAGCTTGTTAAAGAAGGGTGAAATACTTAGAAAATCATGAGAAATTTTCAGCATTAAATGTGAAATTCAAATAAATCTCAGGAGTTAAAGCGTAAAATTAATGAAATACGAGTGTTGATTGTATATACTCTCAATCTCTCTCTCTTTCCGCCAAAGAACCATTTTTTTTTTATTTTTAGACAAAAAACTTAAAAGCTATAATTTTAAATAAGAAAATAGTTCTCGTAAATCAAATAATAACTATTCTTTTATTTGCGTTTCCTAATAAATATTTTTATGTTTTTTTATAAATAACACTCTAGAGCAGTATATATATATATATATATAAAAGAAGGAAAATAAAAAAATATATTCAGTTCTTTTTTCGAGATTAGTAAATAATTCCAATAATCATAGTTTTCATTTTATTTATTTTTTTATTTGATTTATTTTCTGCTTGTTCATTTATTAATTAATATTACTTATATTTTTTTTAATTATAATTACTGCTTTTCTACACATTTTCTAATTCTATAATTGTTATTTCACTCGTTTTTCAATACGAACAGTGACAGGATCAGCTAATCTGAGTAGAGCGTCTGTTTTTATTTTCATATCCTTAATTTCTGTTATTTTCTCCTTTATTAAAATATATTTTCGCAGGAATGTTGCTGTAATTACCTTCATTGACATTACTGCATACACTCGACCTGCAAAATAGAAAATTTCATTCAATTTCAAAATTTAATTAGTTAATTAAAGTTTTTAATAAAAATCAAATAATTAAATTAATTCAATAGTTAATTATTTAACTAGTAACTTATAACTTATTTAACACATATTTTATTTAATTAACTAATTACTTAATTAATAAATTATTTTATAAATTTCTTAAAAAAATTAATCAATAAATTACTTAATTAATGAATTATTTAAATAATTACTTCATTAATTAACTAATTAATAGAGAGAAAAATAATTTAATTTAATTTAAATAAAATTATTTTTCTTGTAGTATATTTAATAAAATTTATTAGGTTTGTTAATAATACCAATGCAATCTCTGGAACCAAACAAAAATGGCATGTAAGCTAATGGATGTCGTTTATGTACTTCTTCAGGTAAAAATCGATCAGGATCGAATTTTAATGGATCGGGCCAATATTTCTCATCGCGATGAAGCGATATTATTGAAGCACTTACTGCACAACCTTTTGGAATTGTATAACCATCTGTAAAAAATTTTTCAATAAATTAATTTTTTAAATTTGTTGATAAAATAATAATTTTTTTTAAATAGTAAAGTAAAAAATTTATAATAATTACATAAATGTAAAATTATAATAATTGAGAAAAAAAAATTGTCCAGGTGAAAAAAAATTCATGTTTTATTTATTTAAAAAATTTTTTATTCATTAATTGGGAGAAAAATTAATTTACCAATTTCAAAATCTGCTTGTACTTCACGTGCAACCATTGGAGCGGCGGGAAATAGTCGCATCGTCTCTTTAATTACTCTCTCTAAATATTGTAAACTCGGTAAATCTTCACTCTTCACAGGATTATCCTCCGGATCGTCTGTGCCGTAAATATTGAAAATTTCCTCGTAGACTTTATCCTAGAATGAATTTTGTTCATCTTACTTTTATTAGTATAAACATTGAACGACATTAAATTGAAGAATTAATTTTTAATTAATTTTTGCATTTCATTTTAGAAATTTTCATTGATAGCTCAAGTAATAATAAAGTGAATACTAAAATAAGAAAAACTAGTGAAAAAAAGAAATTAATAAAAATAATTAAAAAAAAATGAAATGAATAAAAATAATTTAAAAAATAAATTAATGAAAATAATAAAAAAATTTGTTTCTTTTTATTATTTTCATTCATTTTTTTTAAATAAAATAAAAATAATAAAAAAAGAAATGAATAAAAATAAGTCAAAAAAAAAGTCAAAGACAAATTTCAAAATCGCACCCCAGATTATTTTCAGTTATTTTTTTTTTTATCATTATTATTGTTTATTAAAATTTACCTGTATTTGAGGATGTTGAGCCAGCATAAGAAAAAGACAATCAAGAGTTCGTGCTGTCGTGTCCGATCCCTGTAAAAATAAATCAATGATTAACTAATTAAAAATTGAAAAATCATTATAAAATTTTAATTATCAAAAGTAAAATAAGTTTTTAATTAAAATCAACAATTTTTTGAATATATTTACAGCAAATATGACTGTGAGAACTTCATCTCGAAGATCCTGATCGGATAATACATGTTCGTTGTCTGTTAATTCCAGTAGCAATTCTAAAGTTGGTTTTCTCCTCGGTTCATCGTTTTCTATATATAAAAGTAAAAATTATAAATGTAGAAAAATAAAAACAAGTGAAAATTGTAAATAAAAAAATAAGTAGCGTAAAAATTGTAAATAGATATAAATATAATAATTATAAATTACCATCGTTTTCGTCAGCTAAGGTTTTTAAATATTCTTTCTTTTCTCGTATTACCTGAAGTGTGAAAAAAAATTATTAAATTTGTTACAAATAATATAACAATACATAAAATAAATTTATTTTATTAAAAAAAACCATTATTACCTATATAAATATTATAAATATAAAGTTAAAAATCACCTCATCGGTGAAATTGTGCGCCTTCTTTATGCCTTCATAAAAGCCTCTCGATAATTCACTCAAATTAAATATCGTATCCGAATGCAACCAAACTCGTACCAAACGTTCAAATAGTAAATTAAGCACCCTGAATGTAAAAAAAAGTGATAAATAAAATACAAATAAAATTAATTACTACTGGAATTTATCACTCGGTAAAAGATGATATAAAAATAAATTATCAATCCTCCAGGTCAAAATTGGAGAATTGATATTTTTCTTGATTTTTTATAAATAAAAATAAATTTTAATTCAAATAAACTATGTCATTATTGATTAATTTTATTTATCTATTTTATATAAAAATTTACCTTTGTGTTGCTGTAAAATAATTCATTATTTCTTCTCGTTTTGATTCTACAGTGATGCCCATTGAACTTTCTGTGAATGTTAATTTCTCATTTATTTACATAACAATTTTTAATAATTTTTATTTATATTTATTTTAATTTCAATTTTTATTTACCACAAATATTACTGAAAGTTGTGAATAAAATGTTTGTTGTTAATTCAAATTCCGGCCCGTCAACATTTTCTTTCATTGATTGTGTCAGTGAAAGGGCATTCTTATGAAATATTCCAACGAAAGATTGTAAAATTTTTTGATTAAACGTCGGTTGAATTAGCCTTCGATGTACTCGCCATATTTTATCTAAAAGAATAAATCTAATTAATAATAAAAATTAAAAAATAAATTATACAAATAGTAACAATAAGTAATAATAAAAATACTAATAAAGTAATAACAACAATTGATAATAAGGAATAAAAAATGTAATAACAATAAATAATAATAAATAAAGATAAATAATTTGAATACTTTTAATAGAAAAAAAAACTTTTGATAAAAGAAACAAAAAATACGAAAAAGTAACTATTGAAAATAAAATTAGAAGAAGATAATTTTATTTGAATAAATTATTTTTATTATTTTCAAGTAGTTTAATTATTTATAAGTATATTTAAGTATTATTATATTTGCCTTTAATTTATAACTTACTGTCAGCTAAAACTAAACCATTGCCTAGCCAAGGTTTAGCGAATTTGTAAATATAATCCTTTTCAATTGCGTTAGGATTTTGAAGAACAGACTTGAAAGAAAAATTAAAAAATTAATTCCTATTTCCCATTTCAAATTTATTATTAAATTAATTAAATGAACAAAAAATTTAGATATTTCAAGTGGAAAAGTGTTGCATCAAACAAAAAATGATTTTTACTAATTAAAAAAAGAAAGATTTAATATTTCGAATGGAAAAATTTTGCATCGACCAAAAATTGATTTTACAAATTAAAAAGAGAAATTTAATATCTCAAATGGAAAAATTTTGCATTGAACAAAAATTGATTTCACAAATTAAAAAATAAAAGATTTAATATCAAAAAAAGGGAAATTGTGCATCAGGCAAAAATTGATTATACTAATTAAAAAATAGAGAATTTAATTTACTAATTAGTAATTACTAATTAATAAAACTTCAATATTTAAAATAAAAACATTTGTCAAAAAGCAAAAATTGGTTTTTACGATGATTTGATAATAAAAAAAATTGCATCAAATGTGCAAAAACAAATTTTCCACTCGTTTATCACTGTTTTGCAATTAAATTAAACAAGTAAAGAATATTTTCAAATTACTCTAATTTGATCTGGATTTTTAAAGATGATAAATACTCGTGTTCCAAGTATAACCCGAAATGGCGAAGTATAAATATTGCACATATTTAATATTTCCTCAGCAAAATCTAAAAAAACATCGGTGAATGTAAAAAAATTTTTGACAATTTCAATTTTGTAATAAAATTTAATTAAAATTTATTCATCACTAAAGAATAAAGAAAAATAGAAAAATAAACAGAAATAAAGAAATAGAAAAAAATAAGAAATAAGGAAAAATAGAAAAATATAAGTAAAATAAAGAAACTAATTAATAAAATAAAAAATAATTACGTGCAGCATCTCCGACTAGAAGAGAAATGCATCCCAATAGAGGAAATGCTCTCGGTCCGGGAATATTAGAAATTTTTTTAAACACTTCCCTGTTCCCGGAAAAATGAAATATTGCACAAAACACTAAAAGTGCACTTATTATTGTTAGCAACACTATCGACAACATTGTTCTAGAATATTTTTCTACACTATTTATATTAATTTTATCATTTATTATTATATTATTAATATTTAAATTACTATTATTTATTTATTTATTGACAAGAAAATTTTCATTATGAATTTAATAATAGAAATTTATTGCAAAAATATATTTCACAAAAAATATTTGATTTTGAACAAAATATTTTCTCAACAGAAATTTAATCAACAACATTTACCGATCAGATCAAAAATGCGACTAATGCCTGTTTTGAAAATTTAAATCCTCTTAAGTACATTTACTATATCAAATAAAAAATTTTTTACATTATATAAAGGAATATATTAGATAAAAAAATTTACATATATTTCATTTGGCGGGGTTATTTCTCTAATAAAATTTTCTTCCTGAAATGATTTCAAACAACATTTCTATATTGAGTCATGGGTTTTTTAAAAATGATTGTGAAATACAATATATAAATGGGAAAATTCCTGTTTACTGCGAGACTATTTTTTTCTTCTCATTTACTTTTATCTTTTTTTTACTTTTATCAAGGCAAAGGTCTCCTTACAAAATATTGTGCGACAAATATTCATTATACCTATTTGACACGTGTGTATTTGAAAACTTGTTTCGTTTTAATTGTACCATTCCAAATAAACAATTTAAATCAATTTTTTAAAAAAATTAAATTTTTGCAAAGTTTTTTTGAAAATTCTGAAAAATACGATTTTTGAAATTTTTCAATTCTATTGTTTCAAGGTATGTAATTGAATTTTTATAACCAAATAATTGAAAATTTTTTAAATAATTAGTCACCGTAATTATAATTTTATTTGTTAAAATTTCCTCTCAATATAGGTATTCAATTATTTTCATAAATAGTAAAACTCATTGCAGAATTTCAATTATTTTTAATACAATGTTAATCAAATTCCTCGAAAAATGTTTTCATTATTCTTAAAAATTTTATTAAAATTCGTCGAAAGAATTCAATTATTTCTAGAAACTGTAAAAAAAGTTCTTCTCAAAAATCCAATTATTTCTATAAATAGCAAGATTCTTCATAATTACTAAATTTTTTAGAATATTAATTTTAAAAAAATTCTTCACAAGAATTCAATTATTTTCATAAATTTCCATAAAATTCTAAAAAACAATTCAATTATTTTCAAGAGTAATGTAAATTCTTCGCATATCTTTATAAATAATTAAATTGTTTTCCACAATTCAATTATTTTCAAAAATCTTAATAAAATTATTTTCCGAAATTCAATTTTTTTCAAAAATTTCTATAAAATTCTTGGCAAAATTTCAATTATTTTCAAAAGCAATAAAGTTCTTCGCAAAAAGTTCAATTATGTTCAAAATTTTTTTTAAATTCTCTTCAAAATTTCAATTATCTTTATAAATAATAAAATTCTTCTCTCGAAATTCAATTATTTTCAAAAATATCCATAAAATTCTTGGTAAAATTTCAATTATTTTCAAAAGCAATAAAGTTCTTCGCAAAAAATTCAATTATGTTCATAAATTTGTTTAAATTCTCTTCAAATTTGAATTATCTTTATAAATAATAAAATTCTTCTCCGAAATTTAACAGACAAGATTATTTGAAAAAATTGAAAAAATTCTTTGTTTAATTCAATTATTTTTCAAATTTTTTAATTAAAATTATTCAAAAAATATTATTTTAAAAAAATTTAAAGAAACTCGTCAAAAGAATTTAGTTATTTATAACAACTCTAATAAAATTTTTGGAAACCATTTGTAGATTTATTTGTGTTTGAATTGAAATCAAATAAATTTAAATTTGATAAGAAAAAAAACCAGGAATTTTGTTGAATGAAAATAGTAGACACCCTGAGTAAACAATTCTAATGCAAATAGAAAGTAATTGATTCAGTGGAAAATTTTCACAATTTTTTTTTTTAAATTTTCTCTTTTTCTCAAAGTGAGAGTTGAAGAGAGTGAAAGAGAGAGAACAAAAGCTAAGCTCCGAAAATATTTAAATCTTAATATTAAACTTCAATTTACAGTTGGAGAGTAATCTAAATCCAGCATGGAAAATTCTCATGAGAGGAGGGAAGAAAAGAGTGTATGCATATGTATATAGTTTTGCAAAGCAGGGGGATAGAGAGAGAGAGAGCAAGTGCTCTGCAGAGATGAACGAGGGCCATTTATTTTAAGAGCCTTCCGAGCTATTTGTCCTTTCGTCTTATTTCTCTGTTTTACATGATAAGTGGTTCCACTTTGGCTCAACTTTTGCACTTTTCTTATTAAGTGTACATCCATTGAAAATCGTATTTCACAATATAAAAAATGTACCTTCCTCTTGATTGCACGTGCACTTTGTCAGATTATACCCCCCCCCAAAAAAAAAAAAGGAAAAATAAAAAAAATTCCCTTATGCAAGAGATATACATATTTTTTTTCTGTTTCAAACAATATGAAAATTTACAATGTTCGTAAAGTGAGATTGCGCATGTTTAGAATCCTTCTCTTTCTCTCGCTTTTCTTTTTCCCTTGCATTTGGCACTTGTTCTCATAATCTCGACAGAGCAGGAGATTAAAAAAGTTTAATTTCATACTTTTATTTTTTAAAGTTTATTAAGATTAAAAAGAAAAAATATATATTTAAATATTTTTTTTTTCTTTGAGCATTTTAATTGTGTTTTAACAGTTTATAATGGTAATTATTTATTATTAGTTAATATTAATAAGTAATTAATAAAAATAATTATTAACAATTATTAATAATAATTAATTAATAAAAATAACTATTAATAATTATTAATAGACCAGAATAATTCTGACTACAATTTATTAAATTATTAATAATTAATTAATAAAAATAATTATTAGGTAATAATTATTAATAAGTCTTTCAAATTAATATCAGATTCGAATCAAATTACAAAATTGTACTCAAGAACTATAATAATAATATTATAGAGGAACATAGTCAGGGTTCGACCACCTTTTGAAATTTGTTTATAACTTTTAAAAAAAAATAAATTAAGGCAATTGAGATATATTTTTGGAAGGAATCTACAAAAAAGGAAAACTTTTGCTAAACTTCGTAAATTTATTAAATTTATTGGTCTATAATTAAAGAGCTTATAAAAATTAAAAAAAATGTAGTCAAGGTTAGACCTTATAGTCAGGGTTGGACCATGTCGAAAAAAAATCGATGCGCTTTATCCAACCCTGCTCTCTAAATTTTAATTATTAAAAATTTTCACTAATTTGAATTAGTCGTGACTTTTAACTATTGAATTAATAAATTTTACCAGCAAATCTGTAGAAATTACTATTAAAAAAAAAAGTCACTAATTCTAATTAGTAATTAGTAAATATTTTTTACTAATTCAAATTTAGAGAGTGACTATATTTTTTCTTATAATAATACAATAAATAACTAAATTATAAATAATTATAATAACATATAAATTATAAATAAATTGTGACTCATATTTTATTGGAAAAAAATGGAATTGAATGGAATTGAAAAATCGAGAAAAAATGGAAAATATTTATTTACTTTACAATATAAAAATAGAAAATTAACGAAAACAAACAATTGAAAGGAATTTTTCGACTGCAAAACAGATGTTAATGTGGGTAATTAATTTTACCAGGGGGCAAAAAAAGATAAGCGACGCCCATTTCTTTTTTCTTCTTCGTTTTTTTTTCTGAAGAGGAGAAGAAAGAGAGTTTAAAACTTAACTCTCGAAGTAGTGTTTTCTCCACCCTTTTTGACCTCTTATCTGTCCCCTTGCATTTCCACGCCTCAACAGAATCCGTATTTCTTTTTAATCTCGACAAAAGTCTTGAAGCCGATGCGCGATGCCAGCATGATTTCCTTCCTTCCTTTTACATTTAAACTCGTCCTCAAAAGATATTATATACCTATGTACATCTCCATTCTTATCACTTTTTCTCTTTCACTTTCACTTTTGGCTCTTATTCTTACTCTATTTTCGCATTTACTTTTTTATATTTGAAAATTTATTTTATTTCTATTCTGTTTTCGTTAATTTCATTTATTTTTCGCTATTTTTATTTATTGCTGTATTTATTATTCTTATTATTATCATTATTATTATTGTTATTATTATTATCATATTTAATAATATTTTAATATTAATATGTCAATCTCTCTAAATTTGAATTATTAAAATTCACTAACCCCTAATTTGAATTAGTGACTGGATTTTTGCTTTCGAGTTAGTAAATTTTACTAATAAATAGTCTTTCTATTTCCTTGTTATAGTAAAATTCACTCATTGAAAAGCAAAAATCAGTCACTAATACAAATTTAGAGGGCGTCGATAAATAAATAATTATGATTTTTTATTTAATATTATTTAAATTTTTAAATAAAGAAAAAGAAGAGAAAAAATGTTTTCTAAAAAGAATTTCTCTTTTCACTTTTTCAATATATAAACAGATAAAAAGCATATTCTCTTCGTAATCTCATTTTGACAGGGAAATAATGCTAATCTTTAAAAGCTCTCCTTCTCTCTCTGCTTCTCTCTCTGACGCTTTGAATCCTTCACAGTAAGAAAATCCTTTTATTGTGTGCAATGATATCGCAAAGGGATGAAAATTTCAAAATTTTACTGTTTTTTTTTTATTTATTATTAAAGTATGTAATAGAAAATAGAAAATAAATAATAGAATAAAAAAAATAATAAAATAACAGAAAATAAATTTTTAATTACTAACTTTAATTTTATATAATTAATGAGATAATTAGATAATTAAAAACAAATGATTCTAATAATAAATTACATTAGTAACCAAATTAAATATAATATATTTTTTTAATAATTAAATTATTATTATTAATATTTTTATTATTAATTATTATAACTTTGTTTTGCTTAAAATGAAGTTTCAGGAAAGACCTGAATAGTTTCAAAAAAGGCACTTATTTATATTATTTTTTTCTTTTTTTATGGTTATAAAATCATAAAAATATACTTTTTATTACAATTTTTTTTTTCTTGAGACATAAAACAAGTTTTAAAAAAGTCTACTGTAAGGCATCTTTTTTCGATGCAGAGAGACGAGGGGGTCACTAAAACCATAGTATAAAGAGATTTGACGGCTTATTACCAAATCCCAATTCTCGTTGGTTCATTTACGTATAAAGCTGAAAATGCCAGCTCATGTACATATTCTTCATTATAAACCCATTATTTTATTACCGCGACATATACGAATATATATCCATAATAATGGATGCTCGTCAACCAATTATTATTTGTAATTTATAATTAAGAGTAATTAGTTTAAATTCCGTTATCTTTGTTAATTTTTTAATGTTTTTTTAAATTTTAATTATTTTTATAGTTACATTATTTTATTTCATAAGATTTTGAGAGGTGAAAAAAATCATATTTAGAAAGTGAGTATTAATTTGCTTTAAAATTCTCAAAAGGTGACTTTATTTCCCAAGGGAGGAAAACGGCAATTTTTCTCCCTAATATTAAATTGAACACTTTTTTTTATAAATAATATATATTACTATAAGATTCAGAAAGATCTGGGATTGAATTGTAAAGACTGGTATAAATTTTATTCCAGGGCTGGAAAAGAACATAATTTGCTCCCTAGTATTAAAAAGAAAAAATATAAATTAAAATAAACAGTTTTATTTATTATTACAAGTATAAAAAATTTTTCCTACAAGTAAAGTTGTAAAAATTTCAAAATATTTCATAGTTTCGAAAGGTTTGTCAAATATCTTCGCAAGATTAAAATAACCACTTTTGATTAAAGAAAAAGTAACTAGTTAACACGTGATATAAAAAGAAACTTTTAAACACGAGACAAAAGACATTTAATTCGCGCAGCTTAAAAGCCCAATCGAATAGTTCTTATACTTTGAAATAGGAAGTAATTGCGCGATAATGAGGGTAAAAGTTGTTAGACAAGCCCTATATATACACATAGTTTCTATAACAGAGAACTGATCTTCCTCGGTTGTTATCTTGTTCACAGTAGCAGTTGGTCGTAACTATATACCTAAACTCAACATTTTCAAAGGTCTAAAGAGACCTTATGTACCTTGATTACAATCGATTTTTTGCCAAACGAAAGAAAAGTATATAATTTTCTCATTATATTAACCGTATATATACACACTTATCGTACTCTCTATAGATGCTAATATACATATATGACGGGTTCCACGTCAAGTGACCCAGGTCAAAAATTTACATGGAATATTTGAAAAATTTGTAGTTTCTGTAAAACAAAACGAAAATACGTTTTCTATTTTGGGTTTTGCTGCTGTTTTTCAACACTTTCTAATAGTGTGAACAAATGTAGAGAAAAAAAATTGTTTGACCTTGAAAAATTAAATTAAAAAATAAAATTTCATTTTTTTATCAAATGGGCAGTTTTTAATTTTTTTAAAAAAATTTTATCAGAAAGGTGAGGTTTTTTCCTAAAAAAAATGTATAGGTCAAAACGTGGGACAAGAACTTTTAACTGGTCAAATTAAGCATTTACTTCTGCCGTGCACCGTCCCACAGTGGAATTTTTTTTACAATTTACTATTAAAAAATGTCTATAGCTTACAATTTTTAACCGATTTGAGTGTTCTTTAACTTAAATTAAAGAGGAATAAATTCTTAAGACATCCTTCGAGGCCGATTTTGGAGATTTTAATTATTTATAATTTTTTTAAAATCAAAGTTAACAAATTAATACACTTTTTTAAAAAAGGAGGTTTATTTTCTTATTCCGTTGATGCACATGATCTAAATAAATTTAAATTCATCCAATATGACCACCAGATAATTAATAAAGCATAAAATAATCTATTTCAATTGTTATAAACAATATATAGCCCAACAACGAGCAGGGGCGGTGGATTGCAGAAGTAAATGTTTATTTTGACCAGTTAAAAGTTCTTGTCCCACGTTTTGACCTATACATTTTTTTTAGCAAAAAACCTCACCTTTATGATAAAATTTTTTTTTTTTAAATAAAAACTGTCCATTTGATGAAAAAATGAAATTTTATTTTTTAATTTAATTTTTCAAGGTCAAACATTTTTTTTCTCTACATTTGTTTACACCATTAGAAAGTGTTGAAAAACAGCAGAAAAACCCAAAATAGAAAACGTATTTTCGTTTTGTTTTAAAGAAACTACAAATTTTTCAAATATTCCATGTTAGACCAAAAATTTAAACTTTGACCCCCTCCAGTTTTTATATTTGTTTAAATAAATTAATAATATTTGGTATTTTTAATTGTATCTAATAGGACTACTGTTTCTGCAAAATTTTTACCCGATCCCAAACATTTAAAATTTTGACCTGGGTCACTTAACGTGGAACCCGTCATATATTATAGTTGGAAATAGAAAGGTTAACAACCTTGAAAAAAAATCTCTGGTAGAAAATTTTAATGTTATGATAGTTTAAACTCTTTCAAATAACTAAGCTTTTATCAGATTAATGTCGAAATTATTTTAATTTTTATCACTTTGGAAAATAAAAATGTAAAGCGATTTCTTAATGTCCGAAACATCGGAGCAAAGTAAATATAAAATAATAATTATAATGAAAAAATTAAATAATTATTATTATTCTTTTCTTTATTGATTTTAGTATAAATTTTAACAACTTTAAATTATACACTTTGCCCTATTTTCAATTCTCACAGTAATTGGATCACAACTTAAAAAAAGATGGTCCATTTTCAATTTTATGTCCTTGATTTCGGTAAATTTGTCCTTTTTCAAAATATATTTGCGAAGAAATGTTACCATTATTACTTTCATTGATAACATAGCATAGGCACGACCTAAAATTAATACTTTAGATCATAAATTATAAACATGAAAAAAAACATTTGTTTTTGAAATATAATATTTTATAAACTATTTAAAATATTATGTTATAACGTAAAGTAAAAATTTATAAAAGAAGGTAAAAATTGTTATTCTACTTTATATTTTATTAATATAACTATTAAGAAAACTGTATTTTTTAAATTAATATATTTATTATTATTACTAGCAAAAGATAAGCGCACCAGCGCGTGGATCGTGGTAATATATTTATTATTATTTTATAAATTAAAAAACTTTATATTTTCAAGAATAAACATTAATTTTTGAATGATTACAGATTAAAAATTTAAAGAATTCACTTATTAAGTACATAATATAATAAATATTCTTGTTTATTATTATATTCAAAACTTTTAATAAAATTTTTTGCAAGAATTTCATTTATTGACATAAATAATAATATTTTTTAGAGCAATTCAATTATTAATAATACAATTTTAATAAAATTTCTCGAAAGAATACAATTATTTTTAAAAATATTAATTAATTTTGATTATTTTCAAGAATATATTAATATAAATTTAATTATTTTCAACAATTCTGATAAAATTCTTCGAAAAAATTGAATTATTTTTATAAATATTGTAAAATTCTTGACAAGAATCCAATTATTTTTGTAAATATTAAAATTCTTCTGAGAAATTCAATTATTTTCAACCTACAATTTTAATAAAATCTCTAGAAAAAAATTCAATTATATTCAAGATAATTTTAATAAAATTTCTCCAACAGGTTCAATTATTTTTAAAAATTGTAATGAAATTTTTCTCAAAAATTCAATTGTTCTCAAAAGTTTTTAATAAAATTCTTTGTAAATTTCAATTATTTTCAAAATTTCTAATTAAAATTATTTTTAAAAAATACATTATTTTTGCGAAATTTAATGAAAATCTTTAAAAAAAAATGTATTTATTTACAAAAACTCTAATAAAATTGTTTAAAAGAATTTAATTTTCTATGAATAATTGCAATATGATTTAATAGGAAAATTTTAAAATTTTAATTACAATTATTAATAAACACGATTATTTTAAAAACTTTAAAGAAAATCTTCATAAAATTCAATTATTTCAAAATTTTCAATAAAAATTATTAAAAAATATTAAATGTAAAGTAAAAATACCAATACAGTCTCTAGGACCAAAACTGAATGGAATGAAGGCACAAGGATGACGTTTCGACACTTCCTCTGGTAGAAATCTGTCAGGATCAAATTTTAACGGATCGGGCCAAATTTTTTCATCCCGATGAATTGGCACAACGGCAACAATTGCCGTACACCCCTTTGGCACTTTTTTTCCATCTAGGAATTATAAAAATTATAAAAACAATAATAAAAAAAAGAAATTTTGATATTTAAGTGAAAAAAATTAGGTTTTTATAATACCTAATTCTAAATCCTCTGTAATCATACGAGCAAGAAATGGAGCAATTGAAAATAATCTCATTGTTTCTTTAATTACACGTTCCAAATACATGAAATGTTGTAAATCTTCATATTTCACTGGATTTTTCTCCGGATCATCAGAACCGTAAATATTGAATATTTCCTGATAAACTTTTTCCTAAATTGAATTTTTAATTATTAGGAATTATTATCATTTTTAATATAAGAATAATTTTTTCCTAATTTATTACAATGAATAAAAAAGAAATAAAAATATTTTTATTTAATATATTTAAACATTAAAACTAGTTATAAATAAATAATGATTGTTGTTAAACAAACAATGAACAAAATGATAAATAAATTTATATTTATGTATAATATCTATCTAATATTTATATTATTATCATAAATACTTAATAGTTTTCATTTAATAATTAATAATAATATAAATAATAGTTTTTTTTAAACAAAATATTTATGTTACAAATTACCTGCACTTTTGGATTCTGTGCTAACATTTGGAGAACAAAAGCCAATGTTCTACTAGTGGTATCAGTACCCTTCGTAAAAAAATCAAATAAAAATCTGGTGTGAATTTTATTGAATATGAAAAATTTTTTACAACAAAAAAAGTTCAAAATAATGACTATAATTTAATAAAATATAATAATAAAAAAATTAATAAAATGTAAAACATTATTACTGCAGTTATCAGTGTCAACACATGATCCCGAAGTTGTTTGTTCGTAAGGGAATTATTATCCGATAATTCAAGTAGTAAATCCAGTGTTATATTTTTCGCTTTTGCTTCTGTAAAATTAAGAAATTATTATTATTTGAAAATTTTTATTACTTATAAATAATTTTATTTTATTTAATTAATTGAATTTCTTTAATTTATTTATATTATTAATTTATTTATGTTTAGAGAATTATTTTTGGTTTTTAAAAATAATTTTACTTTTCCTTATATAGAAATTGTACAATACCTTCTTTTTTATTCTGTAAAATTGCTTTTCTCTTTAGTATTACCTGCGTGCAATGAAAAATAATCTAAATATTTTTGTTTTTAATAATCTATGACAATAATTTATTATTTTTTGCTTACATTGTCAGTAAAATTGTGAATGTTTTTAATATCATTGTTATAATTTTTTGCAAGTGAACTCATGCTAAACAGCAATTCAGAATGGTACCATACACTTAACAATCGTTTGAATAAAACTCTAAATATTCTAAAATTAAAAATCACTTTTTGAATGTGAAAATAGAAATTAAAACAAATTAATAGGAAAAATAAATTCAATGCGTTTATGGAAAAACTTTAAGAAAAAAAAATTTTGTTTATTAAATTTTTAAAATTATGAATATTTTTCTATCTCAGAGTGAAAATAAGGAAAAAGTTCAAAATTATTTAAATTACATTTGGAAACATGATATATTTATAAATAATAAATTGATATGATTTTCGATATTACCTATCTGAAATTTCATAAAATTTGTAGACCTCCTCTTTTTGGGTTTTCACCGAAACACCCATTGACGATTCTATAAAAAAATTATATTATTAGAATATAATACAATTTTTATAATATAATATTTAATACAATTTTATAAATTTACAACTTTTATTTATTTATTTACTTATTTTATTTATTTCATTTATTTATTTATTTAAAGATACTTGGCTATTATTATTTTATTTTATTATTAAAAAATAAAACAATATACAACAAAAAATATATTCTACAATTTTGTGTATTCAAAAACAAATCAATAAATATAATTTGGAAGTAATTTAGAATAAAATGTAAATTTCCAATGAAAAAAAATTACCACAAATATTACTGCAAGTAATGTATGCAATATGATTAGATATGTCAAATTCCGGTCCGTCGATTTCACTCTCAACCGTTTTGTTCAGTAAGAGAGAATTTTGTTGAAAAATCGAAAAATAGGTTTGTAGAGTTTTTTTATTAAACATCGGTTGAATTATTCGTCGATGTTTACGCCAAAGATTTTCTATAGATTGAAAATTTTTTTCATATGAAATAAAAAAAAAGTTAATTGCATTTAAAATAAAATTTAAATTATAATAATATTCTTTTATTGAAATATTAATTAAACTTACGTTTGGATGTCACTAATCCATCGCCAATCCAAGATTTCGAAAAATTATACAATGCAGTCTTATCCATTGCTTTTGAACTCTGAAGAATAGTCTTTAAGGAAAAATTAATAAAAAGTGATCAATTAGAGGAAAAAATTTTTAAAGAAAAATTTTTATTTTTATTTTTTAATTTTACTTTTGATTGTTGTGGATCCTTTGTAGCAATGAAGACATGGGATCCAAATGCTAATCTGACCGGTGACTCAAAAATGCAACTAAGTTTTGTTGTTTGTTTCAAAAAATCTATGAAAACAAAAATATCTTTTGGTAAGTTTTAGAGTAGAATTTACATAAATAATAATAATTATTATTGTTCAAATAATAATTATTATTATACAAAAATCTTACGCTCTGAATCTCCAATAAATTGATATGTACATCCGATTAAGGGAAAAAGTAGTGGGCCAGAAAAATGATTTGTCTTATTGTATAATTCTCTGTTACCAAAAAAATGAAGAATTACACAAATTATCGCCAATGTAGACACTATAATACACAATATTGTTGTTAACATTTTCACTTTTTTTAACAATGTTTTATGTTATTTTTTTATTTAAATATAACATTTATAATAATTGATTTCGAGTTATTTAATGCATAAAGTCAGAAATGAATATGAAATATTCAGTTCAAGTTGGCACCTTTTATAAAGTGCAAGAAGAATAAGAATTAAAAAAAAATTATTGTTATTACATTGTACGTAATAACGTAATTTATATTCTCATTGAAAAACTTAAAACTCGTCTTAAGTCGCCTTTAAACTCGATTTGCATTTCAGGGTTATCGATTGTCATCTTATATATCGAAATTGAAATTAATAAAAAATAAGTTCAAAAGAAAATTATTTAAATATTCATTATCATTTTATTGTTATAACTAATTAAATTGTTACAACTAATGTTTTTTCTTATTATTAATAAGGGACTTTTACTTTTTTCATTATTTTTATATTTCTTTCTACTTATTATTTTTACAAGCAATCGTCCCCACTTTTTATTCTACACACTCATACTTTATACTTTCGACAATATATGTAATAAGAATATAAAAAAATATTATTTTTATCAATATTAATATTATTATAAATATTAATAATTATTTTTTCATTATTTATTATTATTACCATTATTATTATAATTCCTTTCTTTATTAATTTTGGTAAAAATTTTAACAATTTTAAACTATTCATTTTGCTCTATTTTCTATTTTAAAAGTAATTGGATCACAATTTAAGAGTACATTATCCATTGTTAATTTTATATCCTTGATTTCGGTAAATTTGTCCTTTTTCAAAATATATTCACGAAGAAATGTTACTATTATCACTTTCATTGATATCATTGCATAGACGCGACCTGAAAATTAAATTTTTTTATTTTAAATAGCTGTGAAACATTTGTATTAAAAATATAATATTTTACAAACAATTTTAAAAAATATACATATCTATATATATCGTATATTAGAAATTTTTGTAGGAGAACATAATCAAAGTTGGATCTTTATTTAATTATAAATATAAATTATCATTATTAAAAACAATTTTTATAGTAATTATAGTTACAATACTTATAATTAATATCAATTTAATATTTATAATTATTCTTATTATTTATTAATCTATATTAATAATCTGCAAAGAAATTTATCAAAAACTTTGTGAAGAATTATATTAAAATTATTAAATTTTTGTATTATTAAATATTTTTATTAACATTTTTAAAAATTCTAATTAAATTCTTTTGGAGAAGTTCTTTGGATTTTTTTAAAAATAATGGAGTTTCTTTAATAATTTTAATTAAAAATTTTGAATGTAATTGGATTTTATGAATTATTTCTTTCAAGTTATTAAAATAATCGTGTTTCTTGATAACTGAAATTAATCATTTAATTAAAGAAATTCAATAACATTTCTAGAAAATAATTAAATTCTTCTTAGAATTTTATTACAATTTTCTAAAATAATTTAATTCTTTCAAGGAATTTTATTAAAATATAGAAAATAATTGAATTCTTTAAAAAAAATTAAACTCTGTTAAACAATTTTATTAAAGTTGTTGGTAAAAAATTAAAATAATTAAATTCATTTGAAGAATTTCTTGAAGTTTATTTTTGAAAATATTGTAGTTTTTTGAATAATTTTAATTAAAAATTTTGAAAATAATTTAATTACACAAAGAATTTTTGTCAACTTTTTAAAATAATCGTGCCTGTAAATAATTAAAATTGAATATTTGATTATTGAAGTTTATTAAAATTGAATTGAAAATAATTGAACTCCTGAGAGGAATTTTATTATGTACTTAAAAAAAATGAATTTTACTACTTATAAAAAAATTGGATTGTTTCGAAGGATAAATTAAAAATTTTAGAAAATAATTGAATCGAAAAATTTTATAACGAATTAAGAAAAAAATTGAATTCTTTCGTGAAATTTTATTAAAAATAATAATTTTTTTCAAAGACTTTACTATATAAAAAAAATAATTGATTTCTTTAGTGAAATTTTATTAGAATTTTGTTGAAAATATAAACATTGAATTTAGTGTGATTTTTATTGTATAATTTTAAAATTATGATTTTAATTGTATTGAAATATATTTTTTTTTATTTATTGCAAACAAAAATTACCAATACAATCCCTAGGACCAAAACTAAATGGAACGAATGCACAAGGGTGACGTTTATTGACTTCCTCGGATAAAAAGCGATCAGGATCAAATTTTAACGGATCGGGCCAAATTTTTTCATCCCGATGAAGTGGGACAACTGCAACAAGTGTTGTACAACCTTTTGGCACTTGTTTTCCATCTGGAAATTATAAAACAATTACAAAAAAAAAAAAAAAATTTGAATTAAAGTGAAAAAAATTGTGTCATATTTTTAATACATCCGAAACTTTTTTTATGCCTCGGTATCTTTTTTTTAGTAACAATTTTTATAATATAGATATTACAATACCTAATTCTAAATCTTCTGTAGCCATACGTAAAAGAAATGGAGCGACTGGAAATAATCTCATTGTTTCCTTGATTACACGTTCCAAATACATGAAACGTTGTAAATCTTCATATTTCACTGGATTTTTCACCGGATCATCAGAACCGTAAATATTGAATATTTCCTGGTAAACTTTTTTCTAAATTAAATTTTTAATAAATCGTTCTTTTAGAATAAAACAAATTGAAATTGATAATTAGTTAATTTTATGATAATTATAATTAACCTGCACTTCTGGATTCTGTGCCAGCATATGGAGAACAAAAGCCAAAGTTCTGCCAGTGGTATCAGTACCCTTCGTAAGAAATCAAATAAAAATCTGGTGTTAATTTTATTAAATTTGGAAATTAAATAAAAAGAGAAAAAATTTCAATAGTAATGACTAAAATTTAATAAAATGTTATAATAAAAAAATTTAATAAATTTAAAATTATTACTGCAGTTATTATTGACAACACATGATCACGAAGTTGGTCGTTTGTAAAGGAATTATTATCCGTTAATTCCGTTTATTCAAGTAGTAAATCCAATGTTATGTTTTTTACTTTTGCTTCTGAAAAATTATAAAATTATTACGTTTCAAAAATTTATGTCATGTAAATAATTTATTTAAAAAATAATTTTATTTTTCCTTATTTATGTATACAAATTGTACAATACCTTCGTTTTTATTTTGTAAAATTGCTTTTCTCTTTAGTATTACCTGCGTGCAATGAAAAACAATCTAAATATTTTTTTTATAATTTTAAATCTATGACAATAATATATTATTGTTTTGCTTACATTGTCAGTAAAATTGTGAATTTTTTTAATTTCTCTGTTAAAATTTTTGGCAAGTGAACTCATGCTAAACAGTAATTCGGAATGGTACCATATTCTTAAGAATCGTTTGAATATGATACTAAATATTCTAAAATTAAAAATTACCTTTTAAAAGTACAAAAATAGAAATTAAAGAAAATTTATATCATGTAAATTTAATCTTTATAAGAAAATTTTGTTTCTTTTATCTTTAAATTATAAATACTTTGCTATATCAGATACCTAGTAAAATAAGGGAAGAGTAAAAAATTAGTTCAAAACTATTTTTATCGATAATGAGTTAAAAAGTATTTTCAAAATTACCTTTTAGTAATTTCATAAAATTTGTAAACCTCCTCTTTTTGGGTTATTACCGAAACACCCATTGACGTTTCTATAAAAAAAATTATAATTTTTTTTTATATTATTACTATATCTATTAAATTATATTTTTATTTATTCTGTCACTTATTTAAAAATACATAGAATGAACATGGCTATAAAAAAAATATGAAATACAAAAAGAAATTCTATTCTCAAATAAGTAAATAATTTGAAACTAATAGTAATTTTAAATAAATTGTAAATTTCCAATAAAAATAAAATTACCACAAACATTACTGGTTGTAATATATGCAACATGATTAGATATGTCAAATTCCGGTCCGTCGATTTCACTCTCAACCGTTTTAATCAGTAAGAGAGAATTTTGTTGAAAAATCGAAAAATATGTTTGTAGAATTTTTTGATTAAACATCGGTTGAATTATTCTTCGATGTTTACGCCAAAGTGTTTCTATAGATCGAAAAATATTTACACATGAAACAAAGAAATTGAATTGCATTTAAAGAGAAATTTTAATTATTAGTGTAATTATTCTTTTTTTATTGTATAATATATATTAATTTAACTCACGCTCGGATGTCAGTAATCCATCGCCAATCCATGCTTTCGCAAAACTAGTATAAAATGCACTCTTCTCAATTGTTCTCGAACCCTGAAGAATTGTCTTCAAAGAAAAATTAGAAAATAACTAAATTTTTATTAATATTTGAAAAAAAATTGTTCTATTTTTTATTTTACTTTTGTTTGTTCTGGGTCCTTTGTGGCGACTAAGACATGAGATCCAAATGCTAATCTGACTGGTGACTTATAAGTACAACAAATTTTTGTTATTTGTTTCAAAAAATCTATGAAAAAAAAATTGCTAAGTTTTATTATTTACTATTTTTTATATTTTTACTTTTTACATTCTCATCAAAAATGAAAAGATCTTGGATTTTTTAAATAAAAATTTACTTATATTTTTTTTAAATATTCACAATATTTACTGTACGTACAAAAATTTAAAAAAAATAATTATACAAAAATCTTACGTTCTGAGTCTCCAAAAAATTTATATATACATCCGATTAGAGGAAAAAGTAATGGACCAGAAATATGATTTGTTTTATTGTACAACTTTCTATTGCCAAAGAAATGAAAAACTACTGAAATTATCGACAATAAAGACACTATAATACACAATATTGTTGTTAACATTTTAAAATTTCTTTTTCACTTTTTAAAATTATTTAATGTATTATTCAAATGTAACACTAATTTATAGAATAATTTAGTTATTGATTTCACAAAGTCAGAAATGAATATGAAGTACACGATTCATTACTTGGTATCTTTTATAAAATGCGAAAAAACTAACAAAGTAACAATTATATTAAAAAAATTAGTTTTATACGTAATTTATATTCTTAATGAAAAAATTAAAACTAGTTTCTAACTCGTATTTAAACTTGATTTGCAATTCAGAGTTATTGATTATTATCTTAAATCTTTTATACTGATATTGAAATTAATAAGAAAAAAGTCAAAAAGAAAATAATTTAAATATTCATAAATTTATTATTAATTCTTTTTAATCAGTTTTCTTATTACATAAAAGAATGAAGTTGAGACTTTTTCATTTTTTATTGTTTTTTTTTATTGTATATTTATTAAAGTTGTATATTTATTTAATTTTCTTATAAGCGACACACTTTTTTATTTTTATTATTAACATAATAGATTAATTCAAAAATTACATCACAATGTTGAGGATAACTATGATGAATAACTTAATTTTTCCAGCAAATCATCATCTTTTTTCAATTCTTAACTTAATGGGTTTAGAAAATTGAAGAATTGTATCCATTTTTAATTTAATATCTTCGATTTTGGTAATTTTGTCTACTTTCAAAATGTACTTCCTTAGCAATGTTACTAATAAAACTTTCATTGATATCATGGCATAACCACGACCTAAAATAAAAATTAGAAACATTATTTCTTAATAAAAAGAATTATGTATAGTAGTTTTTATTTAAATTAATTTAATCAATATAATATGACTTATATTTAATTTTAATAAAAATGCAAATACCAATACAATCCCTGGGACCATAACTGAATGGAATATAAGCACATGGGTGACGTTTTTTCACTTCTTCCGGAAGAAAACGATCAGGATCAAATTTTAACGGATCGGGCCAAACATTTTCATCCCGATGAAGTGCTATAACTAAAATAACTGCCGAACAGCCTTTTGGTACTATTTTTCCATCTAAAATTTTTATAATTAATTATGATAATATTATTGTTATTCAAATTTCTTTCAGTATTTTAGTATTTATATTGAAAAATAAATAGAAATTCAATTAATAAATACAAAAGAACTTTTTTTTATCTAGACATTTTTAATTACATATATATATTTCGATATAATTACGTATTTATCAAGTTATTTTGTAGAAAATATTTTTACAAATTAAAAATAAATATTATGTAATCAATTGTATTCTTTACCTATTTCAAAATCATCTGTAACCTTACGAGCAAGTAAAGGAGCAATTGGAAATAATCTCATTGTTTCTTTCATTACTCGTTCCAAATACACAAAGTTTTGTAAATCTTCAAATTTCACTGGATTTATTTCTGGATCATTAGAACCATAAACGTTAAAAATTTCCTCGTAAACTTTTTCCTAAATTAATATGAAATAAATTTTGTTATTCGTGAAAAACATTTTTATCTCTATATAATAATTTTATCTATATAATAAAATCAATTATCAATAGGAAAAAATTATAAGCACCTGAATTTCGGGATTATTTGCCAGCATGTAAATTACAGAATCCAAAGTTTTATTTGTGGTATCAGAACCCTTTAATAAATCAGAGTAAAATCATTAACATTGCTTAATTTTGTCTTCTTTAAGAGATTATCAAAAAAAAAAATTATAATAAATAAATTAGGTATATAAATTATTAAAGTAGTGAATAAAAAATATTACTGCCGTTACGAGTGTTATCACTTCATCGCGAAGTTCTTTATCCGATAAGCATTCATTGTCCGTTAATTCTAATAATAATTCCAAAGTTGCTTTTTTCTCTTTTGGAAATTCTTCTATCAAAATTAGTGTTACTTTATTATATTAACCAAAAAATAATTTAACACAGATTTGTATTTTATATTGAATAATAACAATTTTTTTTAAATTTTATTTTATTTTCCACTCTCTAAATTTGAATTAGTTAAAAATCATATATTTTTAACTGACAATCAGTGACTGACTTTTTGCTTTTAAATCAGTTATTTTTAACAGATTCAAATTCAGAGAACAAGTTCAAATTTTTATTTAACTTTATTATTTTTTTTTCATAAAATTATTTATACAAAAACCAAAATGTATACCTCGTTTTTCGTTTGCTTTTAATTTTAAAGCTTCTTTCTTTTTTTGAATGACCTGTAATTAATTTTATATTTTATTGTTTAGTTAATTTTTCTTTTAATGTAATAATAATTGTGTTTAATCATTTAATACTTTTTAAAATTTTTATAATAAAAAAAAATGCAATTTTAAAGAAACATTGTTTGGCTTACATCATTAGTGAAGTAATGAGTGTATTTAACGTATGAATTAAATTTTTTTGCAATGAAAGTCATATTAAATATTAAATCAGAATGTAACCATAATTGCTGAAATCGTTTTTGGATACAAGAAAATGCCCTTAAAAAATGAAAATTACATTCAGTAGTATAATAATTACTCAGAAATAAAAAGAAGTTTTAATTTAAAAATTAAAATAATATTACAAAAAATTAATCATTATTACTTATACAAACAATACAAATTTTATTTGTTTAAAAAATAGTTGTATAAAATTTTTCTCCTACAATCAAATTTTATTACCCTTCTGCAGAGTTGTACATTTTTTCAACATCCTCTTTTTGTGTTTCCACAGAAACATCCATTGAAGTTTCTATTAAAAAAAATTACAGAAAAATTAATTATTATTAAAAAAAGAAAATTTCAAAAAAAAAATAATAATTGATTCAAATTAAATATAATTCAACTAAAGATAAAATTTCCCTAATTATTAACTACAAAAAATTACCACAAATATTGCTGACAGCCATAAATGCAATATGAGGTGAAATTTCAAATTCCGATCCATTTATTTTACTTTCCAACTCTTTTATCAACAGAAGTGAATTTTTTTGAAAAATTGAAAAAAAGGTTTGCAGTATTTTTTGATTGAACGTTGGTTGAATTATTTTTCTATGTTTACGCCATATTTCATCTACAAAAGAAAAATTTGGAAGGTTTTTACTGAAAATTTTCTACCAGATTTAAAAAAAGTTTTACTTTAATTAAATAACCGATTTCACTTGTCTATTATTAAGTATATATTTACTTGGATCAAATAATTTTTATTGAAATCCAATAAATTTTTTTTTTCATTTTAATATTCGATACAACCATTTGATTGATATAAATGGAAATTATTTCATACGAAAATTAAATATGTACTTGATAATAAACAATGATTTAACTTACATTCTGCAGTCACTAATCCATCACCCAACCATGGTTTAGCAAAATCATAAACATAAGCTTTTCCCATTGCTTTTGAACACTGAAGAATCGTCTTTAATATAAATAAATAATAATTACAGTCAACATTAAAGATTTAATTTAGATAAAGAAAATTAAAAAATTTCACAATTATTGTGACAATTATTATTTATTTTTACAAATTTAATAAAGAAAATAATAAGAATTTTGAGAGTATTTCATATCTTACTTTTATTTGTTCGGGATTCTTAGTAAAAATAAATATTTCTGATCCAAATATCAGTCGAAATGGTGATTTATAAGTGGAACTAATTTTTATAATTTGTTTCATAAAATCTACAAACAGAAATAACTTCTCTATTAATTTTGTTAATTAATAAAATTTACTAAATTTTACTTGCAAACTGAATTTTGCTTAAATTTACAAATAAATTATCAAATAATAATTCTACTACAGTAAATTAATATCACTTAGCTGAAAATCTTACTTGTAGAATCACCAATGAATTTATAAGCACATCCAATGAGAGGAAGATTAAACGGTCCCGGAAACTGATTCGTTTTCTTAACTAATTCTCTGTTCTTGAAGAAATGAAAAATAGCACAAATCGTTGTCAAAATTGACACTAAAATATAAAGTATTGTTGACATTTTTCTTTTAAACTCTATTTTTTTAAACGCTATTTTATAATATTGTTTTCAATTAAATCACATTTGTTTAAAATAAAAATAAAATTCGATATACAAATTTAAGAGATATTTGATTAAGAAAGTGAAAAATGATTCTGAACTATTGAATTCTTGAGACTACTTCTTTTATAAACTGCGAGAAGAATGACTGAATTTAAATAGAAATCATTAATATATATTTCCATGAAATTTATCTTCTTATTGAAAAATTATTCTTTGTCTTCACAAAAACTAAATTATAAAAAAATTTTCAAGGCAAATAATTTAAATAATTATCATTTTTTATTACCTCTCTTACAAAGTAGTTTAGATTACTTTTTTTACCAAAATTTTTTTTACTAAGAAAAAAAGAGTAATAAATCGGAAATGTTTGTTATGCAATAATAAAAAAATTAATTTCTTATCATTATCTTTTAACTTTACAAATATAAGGTTTCTGTCTTTTTTTAAAATGCTCTTTTAATTAAAAAGAAAATTACAAATTTTCACTTTTATTTTAATAGAATTATTGTATTTTTAATTTAAAGATTAAACAAAATAATTTTAAAAAATAAATAGCAATAATTGAAAATTGGATCCTTTTGGGAAATTTATTCACAGAAATAAATAAATATATAAATAAATATCTTCGTATCAATAATAAAAATAACAAATAAAACAAATTTTCTTCGAATGTTGCATATTTTTATTTCTCTTAAAAACGACACACGTTTTATTATTTTAATTACTAACATGATGATAGGGTCATTAAAAAAAAACGTCACGATGTTGAGTATAATTATAATTATCATGAATATTTTAACTTTTCCAGCAAAGTATCATCTTTTTTCAATTCTTAATTTAATGGGTTTAGAAAATTGAAGAATTATATCCATTTTTAATTTAATATCTTTGACTTTGGTAATTTTGTCCTTTATCAAAACATATTTTCTCAGTAATGTTACTAATAAAACTTTTATCGATATCATGGCATATGAACGACCTGAAAAAAATTAGAAACATTATTTTTTACGAATCAAGAAATTGCAATATTTTAAAAATTTTTTATAATATTAGGTAGATAAATATATTTAATTATTTACATTATTATTTTGTAAATAATTTTTCCACGGCTTTTAGTTTTCAGTAAAATATTTAATTGAGAAAAAGAAAATTAAAAAAGGAAGATAATAAAATATAAAAACAATTACAATTACACTATAGTGTATTAGTTAATCAATTAATAATTAATTATTCTAAATAGATAATTTAGAGTAAAAAATTATATGAATAGAAAATAAATAGGGAAAACGAGTTTCTGTACTATATAATCAATGGTAATTTATGAATGAAATTACTTCCTAGGAGTTAAGCAAAAAATTTTTTTTATATAAAAATGCAAATACCTATGCAGTTTCTGAGTCCAAAACTGAATGGAATGAATGCACATGGATGACGTTTAATCGACTCCTCGGGTAGAAACCTGTCAGGATCAAATTTTAACGGATCAGGCCAAATTTTTTCATTTCGATGAAGTGCCAAAACTGAAATAATTGCCGAACAACCTTTTGGCACTGTTTTTCCATCTAGAAATTTTTAATTATCTATTTAATGTAATTATGTGCTTTTAATTGTATAAATAATTATATATAAGTATATTTATATTTTAAATTAAAATAAATTTTTTATTATATGGTTCAATATAATTAGATATTTATCAATTTTAAAAAAAAATGTCACAAAAATTAATATTTAATTAATCGTAATATTTTATACCCAATTCAATATTGTCTGACACCATACGAGCAAGGAGAGGAGTAATTGGAAATAATCTCATTGTTTCCTTGATAACTCGTTCCAAATACATAAAGTGATGTAAATCTTCATGTTTCACTGGATTTTTTTCCGGATCGTCAGAACCGTAAACGCTAAAAATTTCCTCGTAAACTTTTTCCTAAATATAATTTAAAATAAATTTTTAAATTCACAAAAAATATTTTAATCTTTTTTAATAATAATTCTATTTTTCGTTTTCTTGATAAAAATTATATTATTATTATTCTTTATAAAAATTATATTATTATTATTCTTAAAAAAAACTAATTTTTTTGCTAGTCTCAAATAAAAATGATATTTTATAGTATTCTTAACAAAAAAAGAATTTTTTAAACTTTAATTAGCAATTACCAAACATATTTCGAAAAATTGATGATACAAAAAATCATAAGTACCTGAATTTCAGGATGAATTGCCAACATAAAAAGTGCAAAATCCACTGTTTTGCTTGTAGTGTCAGAACCCTTTAAAAAATCAAATTAAAATTTTTTTCTTTACGAAATTATTAAATTAAATAATAGTACTTTAATAAATAAAGATATTAAAATAAATTATATAAATTTATATTTAAAATAGAAGAAAACAAATATTACAGCACATATGAGTGTTACCACTTCATCACGAAGTTCTTTATCCGTTAAGCCTTCATTCTCCGAAAGTTCTAATAAAAAATCCAAAGTTGGTTTTCTCACTTTTTCAGAATCCTCTGTCAACCAATCAAAGCAAAATTGTTGTTACTTCAATATTTTAATCGAAAAAATTTACTATTGATTTTTATTTCAATGAATAACAAAATTAAAAAATTTTTCATTTAACTTCTAAGTAGATATTTTTATTTTACTTTAAAAAGTGTACCTTGAATATCATTTCCTTTAATTTGTAAAGATTTTCTCTTCTTTTGAATCACCTGTAATTAAAAATTAAACATTCACTTTTCTTTTATTATAATAAATGTATTTTTGCTCATTTAATTTTTTCCCTAATTTTTATATATATATTAAGAAATAACAAAATATAATCTTTGAAAAAAAAGTATTCTTGCTTACTTCATCAGTAAAATTGTGCATAAAAGTAATGTAGGAATTGAATTTTTTTCCATTGACACTCATATTAAATAATAAATCGGGATGTAGCCACACTTGCATCAATCGTTTGTATAAAACATGAAATGCCCTTAAAAAATAAAAAGTATACTCAAAAAAAAGAAGTCATAAGTTACAAATTTGACATTATTAAAAAAAAATAATTATCATTAATTATGGAAACAATAAAAATTTCATTTGTTTAAAGTAGGTATATAAAACATATTTTTTTTCTACAATCCATTTTTTTTACCTGTCCATGAAATTGTAGAATTTTTCAACATCCTTTCTCTGTGTTTCTACAGAAATACCCATTGAAGTTTCTATAAAAATGAAAATCCCAATTGTAAAAAAATAATTATGATTGAAAAAATTAATTATATCATTAAAAAATTACCATTAAAAAATTATTATTGAAAAATTACTATTAAAAAATGCATTATTAAAATATAATTAAAGTAAAAGTAAAAATTATCAATTACAAATTACCACAAATATTACTGACAGACATGAATGCAACATAAGGTGTAATTTCAAATTCCGGTCCATTTATTTTATTTTCAAATTCTTTTATCAATAAAAGTGAATTTCTTTGAAAAATTGATACAAATGATTGTAGTATTGCTTTATTGAACGTTGGATGAATTAATTTTCGATGATTGCGCCATATTTTTTCTACAAAAAGAATTTTAAATATTCTTACATTATTATAGTCGATTATCAAGTAAATATATTTATTTGAATCAAATAATTTAATTTCCATACGTTCAGCAGTTATTAATCCATCGCCAACCCAAGGTTTAGCAAAATTGTAAATATTATCCTTCTCAGCTGTATTTGAACTCTGAAGAATCGTCTTAAATATAAATAAAAAATTCCAGTCAAATTAAAAAATCAAGATGAAACTTTTCATTAAATTTAAATATTAAAAAATAAAATAATTTTTTTAAATAATTTTTTTCAAGAGAATGAAATCTTACTTTTATCTGCTCTGGTTCTTGAGTGAAAATAAATACTCGTGTTCCCATTGTCATTCGAAATGGTGATTTATAAGTGTAATTAATTTTCATCATTCGTTCTATAAAATCTATGAGCAGAAAAAATGTTTCTATTATTAATAATAATTAATTAATTAATAATAAAGTTAATTAATAAAATTTGTTAAATTTTAATTGTACATTAGTTTTTGCTGAAATTTTCAATGAAACTTCCAAATAATAAATTTATTAATTAATAATTATACTCTAATAATTTTTTTTATCTACCGAAATAAATTATAAATAAAATAAATTAAGTAAAATAAAATTCAAAACATCTTAACAAAATAGATTTCACTTAAAGAAAAAAAAAACTCACGTGCAGAACCACCGATGAATTTGTAAGAACTTCCAATAAGAGGAAAATTAAACGGTCCAGGAAAATGATTTGTTTTCTTAAATAATTCTCTGCTAGTGAAAATGTAAAAACTTGCAAAAATCACTGTTAATATAAACACTAAAATATACAATATTATTGACAACATTTTTTTGACTTTTTATTGAACTTAACTATTTATTATATTAATTTACTTATTTATGAATTTATTAATTAATTTATTTATTTATTTATTTATTTAATGTAGACATTTTAGTCACAAAGTCACAAATGAATCTGAACTATTGAATTCTTTTCGCGGGACTTTTATAAAGTCCGAGAAGAATGAGAGTATTTGAAAAAAAAAGTTGTACTAATTACATGAAATTCATCTTCCCATTAAAAATTAACTTTTTTTCTTCACAAAAACTCGCCTTATAAACTCGTTTTACAAGCATTTAAGTGTTTTTTTTTACTTCTACTTATCTTAAATCTATTTTAAAATTGCTCTTATTATAATAAAAAAAAACTTTAAAGACAACTAATTTTAATATTTATAATGTTATTAACATGTGCTAAAGTGGTTCCACTATTTTTTTACCAATAGTTTTTCACTGATATGTGAAATTAAAAATGAAAAAAATTTTTTAATTGAAAATTGTTATTCTATTATACCGATAAAATTATCCTTGAGTAGAAAAAATACCAACTTTTAATTATAAAAGTATCAACTTAAAATAAAAGGTAATTTTAATTTAATATTAGAAATTCTTTATTTTCTATTTTATTCGTCTTCTTCACAAAAAATATATTTATTTCTTATAAACAACATTTCTCATTTCTTATAAATACACTTTTTTATTTTAATTATTAACGTATTGAGATTATTCAAGAAAATGACGACAGACTTTTAAGGATAGTTGTCATAAATATTTATTTATTTAAATCACATTATATTTTAATTTTTAGCAAAATTTCATCTTTTTTCTATTTTTAACTTAATTGGTTCTGAAAAAAGAAGTAATATTTCCATTTTTAATTTGATATCTTTAATTTTCATAGTTTGGTCCTTTTTCAAAATATATTTTCTCAGTAGTGTTACTATTGAAACTTTCATAGATAGCATGGCATAGTTACGACCTAAAACAAAAACCTTTTATTTCTCAGTGAAAAATTTGTTTTTCTTTAAATTAACGTAGTAATATTAATAAAAAAAAAAATTTTTCAATGTTTTATTGATAACTAAATTTTCTTAATAGAAGAAATTATTTTCTACAACTGGATACTTTTATCAGTTCTGAAATTTTTTTTTCCAATGAAACTGCAAATACCTATGCAGTCTTTGGAACCAAAACTGAATGGAATGAAGGCACAAGGATGGCGTTTATTAACTTCCTCCGGTAGAAATCTGTCAGGATCAAATTTTAATGGATCGGACCATATTTTTTCATTTCGATGAAGTCCCAATGCAAAAAGAACTACCGAGCAACCTTTTGGTACTGTTTGTCCGTCTGTAAACAATAATATTTTATTAATTATAAAAAAGTTTTTGAAGGAAGAAAATAAAAAATTAATTTCTCCACTAGAGAACGACAAGATCGCCACCAGGTGTCAGGAGAAATTCCAAGAAACAACTAAACTGACATCTTGCGGTGACCTTGGCGTTCGCAGGTGGAGAATAGCATTTCCATATTGAATCTCAATAATGTTCGTAATTCTATATAATTATTTCTAATCAAATTTAGAGTTTTTGACAATCAATATAAACGAATTTCAATTTTTAATAGTCAACATAGTTATACCCAATTCTATATCTTCTAAAACCAAACGACCAATGAGTGGAACAACTGGAAATATTCTCATTGTTTCCATGATAACACGTTCCAAATACATAAAGTTATGTAAATCTTCGAATTTCACTGGATTTTTTTCTGAATCATCAGAACCGTAAACGCTAAATATTTCCTCGTAAACTTTTTCCTAAATATAATTTAAAATAAACTTTTAAATTCACAAAAAATATTTTCGTCTTACGAAAAAAATCATACAATCGCAAAATAAAAATTTATAAAAATACTCTACTTTTAACAAAATTAATGTGTTGAATAATAAACATATTTTTTAATCATAATAAAAATATTCTTTTAAATATAATAAACATATAATTTATTCATAATAAAAATATTTTTTTTAAATATAATAAACATATTTTTACTTCTAATAAAAAAAAGTTTCATTAGTAATTACAATTAAAAAATTAATTATACAAACAATATAAGTCACCTGAACTGCAGGATAATTTGCCAACATAAGAAATACAAAACTGATCACTCTGCTTGTGGTATCAGAACCCTTTAATAAATCAAACTAAAATTATCAAAAGTGATTTCTCTTTTTTTTATAATAAAATAATAATACTAAACTATTAATAATAAATAATTGCAAAAATTAGAAAAAAAAAATATTACAGCAGTTATCAGAGTCACCACTTCTTCTCGAAGTTCTTTATCCGTAAAACTTTCACTATCCGATAATTCTAATAATAAATCCAAAGTTCGTTTTCTGCCTTTTAAAGAATCTTCTGTAAAAATAGTACCTATTTATTTATATTTTTTTTTAACAAAAAATAATTTTCTTGTTTAAATGGATAATAAAAATTTACATTTTTTTAATTTTATTCTCTATGTCTCAAAATTTATTTTTTGTAATGAAATTATTTGTAATATTGATGTACCTTGATTTATATTTGCTTTCATTTTCAATGCTTCTCTCTTTTTTTGAATAATCTGTAATTAAAAAACAAGCAGTGCTAAATATTCATTTAATACTTCAATATAATTAATGTACTTTGAATCCAATGACTAATCAAAGTATTAAACAAATATAATTATTTTTTTACTCACTTCATCAATGAAATTATGTATGAACGTAACGTAACCATTGAAACTTTTTGCAAGTGAACTTAAATTGAATAAAAAATCTGGATGTAACCATATTTGAATTAATCGACTAAATAAAACATGAAAAACCCTGAAAAAAAAATTATGTTCAAAAAGTATTCATAATAGACAAAAATAGTTATTTTTTAAACTGAAGTCTTAAAAAAAATTGTAAATAAAACAAAATAATTTCTACAATTTACCTTTTGGAAAATATGTAAAATTGTTCAACCTCCTTTTTTTGTGTTTCTACCGAAACACCTATTGAAGTTTCTATAAATTAAATTAAAATAACAATAGTATAATTTTAATCATAATTAAAAAATTAAAGTAACAATTATTTACATAAAAAAAAAATTTTTTCTAAAAAAAAGAAATTAATTCAGTCCGCAAAAAATGTCAAACAAAATTGTATCATCGATAAATTAAATTCCATTTTAAAATAATTAAAATAAAAAAATGTCTTTAAAAAAATTAATTACAATAAAGAAAAACTAATTATAATTTAAAAAAATAATTATATTAACTAGGAGAAATTAATTGTAATTAAAAAAATTATTTATTTTATTTCATTTAAAGAACAATACCCTTAATTATACAAAAATTATAATTAAAATTAAACTGAAAATAAAATTGATCAACTATAAATTACCACAAATATTACTGACAGCCATCAAGGTAACATGAGGTGTAATTTCAAATTCCGGTCCATTCAGTTCTTTTTCAAAAGTTTTTGTCAAAAGAAGTGAATTTTTTTGAAAAATTGAAATAAAAGTTTTCAATATGTTTTTATTAAACGTTGGTTGAATCATTTTTCGATGTTTACGCCATATTTTATCTATAAAAAAAATTTCGAAGTATTTCAAAAGTTTTCAAAGAAAAATATTTAAAAATTTTAAATACTTATCGTCTCCATAAAAAAATGAAATTAGAATACAGTAAAATTCGTAATTTTTTTTCTAACTTCATCGAACTCACGTTCAGCCGTAACTAATCCGTTACCAAGCCAAAGTTTAGCAAAATCGTAGATATCGGTTTTTTCAATTGTTTTCGAACTTTGAAGAATCGTCTTTAATAGAAATGAAAAATTATAGTTAATATTAAAATTAATTTTAAATTTAATTTTTCGATTTTAAATGAAAAATTTTACTTTTTATGAAGTTCAGATAAATGATTTATTTCATGACCCATGAAATTCGATTTATCGAGAGTCGACTGTATAAAATAACAATTTTTAAAGGATTGTACATCTTACTTTTACTTGTTCCGGATCCTTAGTGAAGAGAAATATTCGTGATCCAATTATCACTCGAAATGGTGATTTGTATATATTACTCATTCTTATAATTTGTGTCATAAAATCTATCAGAAAAATATAATTTACGTTAATTTCGTAAACAATATAATAAAATTTTTCTAATTTTTAGCAAAATGGATTTTACATAAAAGTACACTACATAAAATCTTACGTGTGGAATCACCAATGAATTTATAAGCGCATCCGATTAGAGGAAGAGAAAATGGTCCCGGAATGTGATTTGTTCTCTTATATAACTCTCTATTATTTAAAAAATAAAAAATTGCACAAACAGACACTAAAATACACAATATTGTTGACAACATTTTTCGTTCACTTCACTTTTTAAAACACTATTTTATAATTTTTTTGTAATTTATTTTATAGTAATTCTTTATTATAATTTTTTTTTGTTTATTCTAGATAATTAATTTAAAAGTTTTTAAAATTAGTTTTTTTTAAGTTTTAAATTTAATTATTAATCATTGTCATTTATTTATTAAAGTTTATTTATTGTCGTTTAATTATGGTACTTCATTAAAAGTAAATAAAAGTGCAGTTTGATGTAAAAATTCGTGAAGCATTTTGTATCACAAGAGTCAAGAATGAAACTCGATTATTCAAGACTTGGCACCTTTTATAGAGTAGAAAGAGAATGTAAATATTAAAAAAAAAAGAAGTTGTTCTATTATTATACAATGTAAAGGATATACTAATTGAAAATTTACTTTTTGTCTGTAGAAAAACCTGCTTTATCTAGTTTTTTGCACTTGATTTGCAATTTTTTTGTTCGTTTATAATTATAGAATAGGACTCTGTCCTTTCATAAAAGAAATGATATGAAAATGTAACATTTAATTTGTTCCATTGTTTTTTTCTCGAGATTCTAGGTTTCTCGAGATGAGACTCGCTCGAAGTGCATTACTAATAAATCTATTATTTTAAATAATAATAATAAATATTTTTAAGAAAATATTTTAAATCTTTATCATTTTACTGTTTTAACTTTCACAAGGGAGTTCCGTTATTTACAATAAGAAGAAGAATAAACTCAGAAATGCTAAACGAATTCAGTATAATAAAAGAATCAGATTATAAGAAAAGATTGTATATTTTTCTTCACATGCAGTTATATTCGTAAACAAAAGATCAGATATTTCTAATTTTTAATACTATGCATAGATGTACACACATATCATGATTATTATAATATTTTGCATTTGAATTCTCATCTTTTTTCTATTCTGAGCGTAATTGGTTTTGAACACAGAAGAATTGTTTCCATTTTTAATTTGATATTTTTGACTTCCGTTATTTCGTCCTTTTTCAAAATATATTTTCGCAATAGTGTTATTATTGAGACTTTCATTGATATCATAGCATAAACACGACCTGAAATTATTTTTTATTTATTGCTAAATTTTCTAGTGTAGAAAGTGATAAAACTTATATTATATATAAGAAAAGGATAAAAATTTTATCCTTTTCCTTAGAATAGAATTTTATAAAAATTTTATTTACTGCAAGAAAAAGGAATATTCTTTTCTTAGTGCAAAATAAATTATTTTTTTTTTTATAAAAAATGCAAATACCTATGCAGTCTTTAGGGCCAAAACTGAATGGAATATAAGCACATGGATGACGTTTATTAACTTCCTCTGGTAGAAATCTGTCAGGATCAAATTTTAACGGATCGGGCCAAATTTTTTCATTTCGATGAAGTGCCAAAACTAAAATAACTGCTGAACAATCTTTTGGTACTGTTTGTCCATCTAGAAATTATAAATTATCCAAGAATTTAATGTTTTATTTAATAATAATTTAATTTAATTTAATTTACTGTATTTGAAAAAAAAAAATTTTAATTTACTAAACAGAAAAAAATCGATAAATGAATAAAAATATAGTAAATATGAAGAAAAATTAATAATAAACAAATAGCAATAAAAACATAATTGAATTTAATATAGGTTTATACCCAATTCCAAATCTTCTAAAACCAAACGAGCAATAAATGGAACAATTGGAAATAATCTCATTGTTTCCTTGATGACACGTTCCAAATACATAAAGTTATGTAAATCTTCAAATTTCACTGGATTCTTTTCTGAATCATCAGAACCGTAAACGCTAAATATTTCCTCGTAAACTTTTTCCTAAATATAATTTAAAATAAATTTTTAATTTCAAAAAGAATGATTTAAAGTTTAAACGAAATAATTACAAATAAAAAATTTTTTTAAAACATCATTTTTAAAAATAAAATAATAAAAAATAAAAAAATAATAAATAAAAACAAAAATAAAAATAATGTTTTAATTTAATTACCTACTGGCTTTGAATAAAAATGTTTCTTATTCGATTTACATTTTTGGCATTATTTAAATAAATAATATCAAACATTTTTTGCAACATTATATTACTAAGAATATTTATTAAATAGTTATTTATTAAATTTATGTAATTAAAATAATGCTTTACAAATTTTTAAAAAATATTTGTTAAAATAATTTTTTTCATTAAATAGTAAAACTAATAATTTTCTACATTTATAGCATAAAAATAATATTGTCACCTGAACTTCTGGATGAATTGCCAACATAAAGAGAACAAAATCCATTGTTCTGCCTGTTGTATCAGAGCCCTTAAAAAAAGACAAAAAAAATTATTAAAAATGATTCAGAATTTATTTTCTGTTAGAAATTATTAATAAAAACTAAAAAGCATTTAGAAATTAGTGAAAAAATATTACAGCAGTTATCAAAGTGACCACTTCCTCGCGAATTTCTTTATCAGTAAAATGTTCTTTATCCGATAATTGTAATAAAAAATCCAAAGTTGGTTTTCTCATTTTTGGACAATCTTCTGTAAAATTAATATTCTTTAATTTTTCGAACAAAAAAATAGTTTCATTAATAAAAGAAAAATGATATTAAAATTCGAATTTAGAAAATAAAAAACAATGAAAAATGTTTAACTGTGATCAATTGCTTATTTATTGATAACAATAATTATTATTAATAAATAAATAAATAAATTGATAATTAACGTTAATTATAATTAATGTTTATTATCAATTTTTTTTAGAAAAATAAAAAAATAAAAATGAATTGATTTTTAATAAATATTAAACTATCAATTTATTTATTTACTTAACGTTAATTATAATTTACGTTTATTATACCTAAATTTTTTTATAGAAAAATAAAAACGAATAAAAATTAAAATAAACGAATTGGTAAATTTTAATAAATATTAATCATCAATTTATTTATTAACTATCCAGTAATATATTATTTTGTAAAACTTGTACCTTCAATATCGTCAGATTTTATTTTTAAAGTTTCTCTCTTTTTTTGAATGACCTGTAATTAAAAACACTGTAAATATGTACTTTTATTTTAATCTAATTTTTGTAATTTTAATCCAAAAAGATTAAAATATTATTAACAGTAATATAATTAAAATATTAGAAAAAAAAATTGATTTGAATAAAAAAATAATAATTGATTCACTTACTTCATCAGTGAAATTGTGAATGAACGTTACATAACCATTGAAACTTTTTGCTAGAAGACTCATGCTGAACAATAAATCTGAATGAAGCCATATTTGAATTAATCGCTTGAATAAAACATAAAATACCCTAAAAATAAGAAAAAAAAACGAAAAACAATTATATAAATAATAAATTTTTTTTGGTTCGAAATAAAAATAAGCAAGAAATTTTTTTTCTGATATTACCTTTTTGAAAAATTGTAAAATTGTTCAACGTCCTCTTTTTGTGTTTCTACAGAAACACCCATTGAAGTTTCTATAAAAATAAAAATCGCAAGCATAAAAAGTTAATTGTTGTTAAAAGAAAAATTAATTGTCATTAAAAGAAATTAATTATTATTGTTAAAAAATTACTTGTGATTAAAAAAAATAATTATCATTAAAAATTGTAACCATTAAAAATTATTGTCATTAAAAATTGTGATAAAAAATTATAATAATTTTTTATAACAATTTTTAAATAATAATATTTAAAAATTATCATCATTAAAAATAATTATAATTAAAAATCGTTATTATTAAAAATTATTTGTATTAAAAAAAATAAATTATGATATTAAAAAAATTAATTCTAATTAAACTAAAATTAAAAATGATCAATATTACAAATTACCACAAATATTACTGACTGACATGAATGCAACATGTGGTGATATTTCAAATTCCGGTCCATTTATTTCTTTTTCAAATGTTTTTGTCAATAGAATTGAATTTCTTTGAAAAATTGAAATAAAAGATTGGAGTATTTTTTGATTGAACGTTGGTTGAATCATTTTTCGATGATTACGCCATATTTTATCTACAGAAAAATGTTAAAAATTTTTACAGAAAAAAAAATATTTTTTTCTTTGTGTATACATAAAATTAATAGAAGAAAATTAAAATTCATTAAAATGCGTGTTTTTTTTCTTTCGATATCATCTAACTCACGTTCCGCTGTCACTAATCCGTTACCAACCCAAGGTTTAGCAAAATCGTAAACATAAGCTTTCTCAACTGTTTTTGAACTCTGAAGAATCGTCTTTAACATAAATGAAAAATTTACTAAAAAGTAGAGTCTAAATTAAATGGCTAGGATGAAACAAATTTTTTTTTCTATTATAAGTATGGAAAATATTTTTTCATTGTAAATATAAAAAATATTTTTTTTATTCTTATAAGTATAAAAAATATTTTTTTATTGTAAGTGTAAAAAATGTTTTTTATTTGTAAGTATAAAAAATATTTTTTTAATGTAGATATAAAAAGTAGAATAATAACAATTGCGAGAAAATTAGATCTTACTTTTATCTGTTCTGGATCCCTAGTGAGAATAAATATTCGTGATCCAAGTGTCATACGAAACGGTGATTCATACGTGCAACTAATTCTTATAATTTGTTTCATGAAATCTATAAAAAAAAATTTGTAGTCCATTAATTTTTAATATTTTATAATTTCCTAATTTAATGAAACTCCTGATTTTAATTTTCACCAAGTTTTTAATTTTTCAATAAATTTTTCAAAGAAAGTGTTCAATAAATTATAATTTTTGCATTTTTTATTTAAGTAAATTTCCAAATCAATTCCAATATAATTTTAATTAATCCCAATCCTTTTTATTATTCATGAAATTTGGAATAAATTAATAAAATTAAAATAAATAAATTAAGCAGTAAAATTTTTGATTAAAGTTCCATTTTCGAATAAAAGTCTTGAATTAAAATAAATTCCATTTCTCAATGATAATAAAAATTCTAAATTTCAAATTTTTCCCAAGTATTAAATAAATTTTCGAATAAACCTCCCAAATAATAAATCCCATTTTCGAATAATAAATTTCCCAGAACAATTGGCATTAAATAAAATCCAAAAAGTTTCAACTAAAATATATTTCACTTTAAAGATAAATAAAAAAAATCTTACGTGCAGAATCTCCTATAAATTGATAAGCACATCCAACAAGAGGAAGAATTCTCGGTCCCGGAAAATGATTTGTTTTCTTAAATAATTCTCTATTATCAAAAAAATGAAAAATAGCAAAAATCACTGCCAATACACACACTAAAATACACAATATTCCTGTCAACATTTTGTTTTTCTTTCTCTTTTTGTCAACTAAACAAACGTCTGTTTAAAAGTTCGCTGTGCACAAATACCATCGAGATATTTTATTTACAAAATCAAGAATGAATCTGAAATCTTCATTTCAGTTCTCAGCACCTTTTATAAAGGTGAAAAAAGAATGAGTATAATGTTTCAAAAAAAAAAAAAAATTTTGTTTTCATTAACTTTATGTAATTCACTTTCTCATTGAAATATATACTTTTTTTCTTGGGTAAATGCAACGAAAACCGGCTGGCTGCCTTAACTCGTTTTGTGCACTTGAAATGCAATAAACGATTTCGAGGTTGATCTTCACTTGTACCATTATGATAAGAAATTTCCGAAAAAATTTTATTTTGGTGAGTATCATCAGAAATATAAAACGGTAGGTATACATTTAAGTACTAAAGACAAAATTTTCTTTTTAATTCGTTTTTTATTATTCATACCTAAATATACAATTATATGTATAATTCAAATTTAATTTTTTTTATACTTGCAATAAAAAATTATTTTTTACATTTATAATTATAATAAAATTTTTATATAAATATATATAATTATAATATTTAAATTAAATACATTAAAGAATTGCCTGTAATTTCTATCGATACGTTAACCTTGAAAATGGTTGGATCAAAGGTTAATATCACACACCTCAATTATGCATACGTGATTAATTTGAAATTCAGAAAAAGCTAATATGAATAAATTATTTTTACATAATATGCGACTAATTTTGAGACTATTTGTTTTTATAATTAAGAAACTAAAAATTAGCTAAATGGAACGGGTTCATGTTACTTTATTGTTCAACATACATTTTTTTTTGTAAAAAATTGTAATTGAACCAAATTGATTTGAAGTAAATAAAGTTTACTTGAATGATATATAAAATAATTTGAACTAAATATACTTCAAATATACCGAATATAATTTATTTAAACAGAAAATAATTTATTAAATCCAAGAATACTTTATTTATTCCAAAACTATTTTATTTTCAAAAAATTTAAATTATTTGAACCAAATATTTTTTATTTTCATACCAAACATAGTTTATTTCAATACCAAATATAATTAATTTAAAAAATAATATGTAACGAAATATAATTTATTTAAACTAATTATAATATTTATTGAAACTAAATGTACTATATTTTCATTAAATTTAATTAATTTGAATACCAAATAAATTTATTTTAACCAAATATCATAGCCAAAACTATGAAATAGGATATTTTTGTTCAACTTCAAAGCCATAACTTCAGACAGAGTGAATTAAAAAATACGAAGAATATTTTTATTAAATTTTTGTAAATATTACTGTTCTGAGAAATACAATAAATAAAATACTTCTCTTTTGCTCGAATTCAAAAAGAGGGGAATTTATGAAAAATAAACTTTTCTGATTCGTTTAAATAATGAGATAGTGAAATACCATCTCGCATGCTCCACGTGAAATATGTATAGCAAAGGTGCGTTACTCTTTCGAGATTGAACTGGGGTTCGTATATATATACACATCTCGACGAGGGATTTGTTCCACTTTCCAATAGAAGTCCGTCGCATGGAAATCTGAAAGTTATTTTCCGTGGCTTCTGGAAAATGGAGGAAAAAAAATATTCTCAACTAAACCAAAAAAGAGAGAGAGAGAGTGAGAGGCATGAGGATAAAAGAGAAAAATGTCTGAGTACCTGTATTTCTTATAAGAGATGTTGCATCTCAGAACTCTGACGGCGCGTTTGAGTGTTGCATCAGCAACTACCCCCTTTGCCAAGAAAGGTAGTTTTTTTTATTTTTCTCGACCCTTTCCGATATGCTGTGTGCGAGGTTTCTTCTTAAAAATTTCTCACGTAAATCGCTTCTTCTTCTTTCGTGCAGCATCCTTATGGTTTCTCTCTTTCTTTTTTTCTCTCTATCCATTTAGATTACCCGCATTCTGAATTTTTTTTTCTACTTTTACATAATATTCACCTTTTTAGTTCTTAAAATACTCCCTTAAATTTTCTTCATTTTATGCATTCGAATCGCATTCAACATTTGTAATATTGAACTGTGGTATTGAAAATAGTGTATATATTTTACTCACAAATTGGTGGAATTATTATAAAACTATTTCAAAATTTCCGTAAAATAATAAAATTGAAGCAAAATATTTAGAAAACTGTTGTGTGAAAACTTTTGTTTTTTCTTTAAAAAATCCAAGTCTGTTGCTTTTAATAAAAAAATAAATTCTCAAATCAAACTCCATTGAGACGTACAATATAAAATGCATTGAGTACAATGTATATTATATTGTACACCTCACATCATAAAACGGACAATCTACTAGCGTGAGTCTGAGAAATAATAGATTTGCGGTTAGCCATCCCATATGAATTATAAACGCTCCTCAAGTTCCCATACGGAAAGAAGATATATACTATCTTCAATAAACAGACGGTCGGTAGTTTGTTGATGTCAATTAGATACACCCTGACAGTATTTCACTTGCCTCGACGGGAGTGTTGTGTGTGAATCAGGAGGGGTGCCTTTTCGTTAATAGCATTAAAAAGGGTCTCCTTGTGAATAGGACCCGTTTGATTTAATGGGTTCTGTTAAGTGTGTTATCCTTGCATTTATGCCTCCGTCTATAAAGTATACACTCAGTAAATGTCTATATATGTCGATAAATACATATAAACACATATACGCAAAACATATTCACATATAACTAAAAATATTCACATATAACTAAAAATATTCACATACAACTAAAACATATTCACATATACACAAAATACATTCACATATAACCAAAATATATTCACATATACACAAAATACAGTCATTTATAATTATAACCAAAATTTATTCACATGTGCTTAAAAAACATTCACATATAACCAAAACATATTCACATATACACAAAACACATTCACATTTACACAAAATACATACACATATATACAATTCACATTCACATGTACACAATTCACATTCACATGTACTCAAAACACATTCACATGTACACAAAACACATTCACATATAACCAAAACATATTCACACATGTACACAAAAAAAGTGACAAAACACATTCACATTTAACTAAAACCTATTCACATGTACACAAAAAAGTGACAAAACACATTCACATTTAACTAAAACCTATTCACATATGCACAAAACAAATTCACATATAACCAAAACATATTCACATATAGACAAATAACACATTCACATACAAAAAACCTATATGTGTACAAAAATACATGTATTATTGTGTACATTATATTCAAACGTAGAACATAAATTATTGATTGTCAAAATACTACTCGACTCTCTCGCTGATGGAAAATCACGCGTGCAACACACGACCTCTATTATTATCAGTTTCATATGTTCCCATACAGGACAATTGGAAATGGTGATCAGTAAACAAATATTGAAGGGTTGCATTCGTAAATCAAATCCGATTTTATAAACAGAAAATTTTAATCCCCTATCATAGCAATATTTTTATTTTCCTTTCATTTATTCTCTATTTTCTCGTTCTCATTTATAGAAAAAATAGGGGGGAAAATATCACGTTTTTAGAAGAAGGAAAAATACAATATGTTAAAATTAAAGAAAATATATTTTTGAAATGTTTATAACTTTTTTAATTTTAGACCAATAAATTTACGATCAATTTACGTAAAAGTGTTCCTCTTTTTCAGATCTTTTCAACAATATAATTCAATTGTCTGAATTTATTTTAGAAAAAAGTTATAAATAAAGTTTAATAGGTGGTTCAACCTTGACTATGTTCCCTTACAGAAAACACATTCACATATACACATAAAATAATTTTCATATATTGAAATATTAAAGGAAAAAATAGAAAAAAAGAAAACTGTTTTTAAATAAATATAATAATAAATACATTTATATATTACTACATTTATTTTAGTTTCTTCAATAATGTGTTCATATTAACAGAATAATAACAAAATCGATTTGTTTATTAATTTATTACCTCATATTATAAACTATTCAAATTTATTGAATTTACCCATTAACAATAAAATTTTGAAATACAATTAAATAAAAAAAATTCAATTTATAAAAATAAATAAAATAACTAAAATAAAAAAACAAAATAAAGAAATAAAAACTTATGAAATGAACGAAAAAACAGAAGCAAGTAAATAAAATAAAAAAAAATTAAAAGCATTTGGTCTTTTATCAGAAAAAAAGTTGTTTCGGCTTCTCCTCTTTGACTAACAATTCATGTTGAATATTAAAAGGATTTAAGATATTAAGATAGTATTGAGAAAATTAACAAGACAAGTTACCCTGAAATGGAGAAGCTGTATAATTTTTGATATATATACGTTACTTATGTAAAAGGACAAGTTGCATAAAAGTGAGAGGAATTCACTGAAAATTATTAAACTTTTTCTTTTGTGCGAATTTCTCAATGTTTCATTGAGAATTTCTAAGTAAAAAAATATAAAGAGAAAGTTTTCTCAAAATTAATTCCAATTTATTTCAAATTTTTGTATATCAAACGAATAAGAAAATTCGATATGCAGCCAGAACAAAAAATTGTTATACAATAATTCTTAATTCCTTCTTATGGGAGTAGATCAATTTTTACTGGACTCTAAGCAGTAAACTCTAAACTCTAGTTTTTTGGGTCAATTTCTCAATGTCTCTGTAAATAAAAAAAAAAAATTACAAATTTTCTTAATATTGCCATTTTTATTTTCTTTGTATTTTATATTTTGTAATTTGTATCAAACGAAAAAAAGGGAAAATAGAAATTATATAGTAATTTTTACTATACTATTATAGTAAAAATTAAATTCTCGAATTTTTGCGCATTCTTCAATGTACAAAAGTAAAGTAAAATCAAAACTCAAGTTTCTGCACTATTCTAATATAAATATAGTAATTTTTACTATTCCCGAGTAAAATTTACTGCTCTTAAAATAATATTACAATAAAATTATCATTAATTATTTCCATAATCTAGTAAAAAGATAATTACTACTTCGTAGTAAAATTTATTAAAATTGAAAATTACTCCAAAAATAATTAAAAAAAGCTGACAGAAATTTCAAACAGTTTCTATAA